AGTGGATTTCGCTCCTGAAAGGGCGTGAGTGAACTTGATGGGTTTTTACAACAATCCATGATCATTTCACTATTATCAAGACTAACTTCATGTTCCAGATTAAAAATTGAGTTTAGATTTCTCTGGTTACCGTGGTGAGATTTGAACCCATGTCCCTAGAATATTAGCCTCCCCCTTGGGATTAATAGTTTTGTGATATCACCACCACACCAACATCCTCTGAAGGGACGACAATGTAGTAAATGTTTTAAATAGACCCTGAACTAAATTGTATTTATCTATGTCTATGTTTTGATTGTAAATATTAAAGTCTTCTTCCAAGGTTGAAAAATGAGAAATAATCCTTTCTTTCACACATTCAACAGCCATTATGTTTGCATCCAGAAATGCAGTCGGTGGTGGGAATTTGTCTGAAACTCCATTGTTTAGCCCAATCTTCCCAACCTCAATTAACTTCTGAAATATTGCAGTCCTGTCACTCATTTCAATTGCGGTTGTATTGTTTCCTTGGATTCAGGTTCAAACATCCGCATGGTATTCAAGTTTCATCAGCTATAACTGGACAGTGAGATTTTCAGTGAATGCAGGATTGCACACAGAAAACAGTGTTTTATGAAGTTCAAAAACTCTTCAAATGCCTCTGCATTGGGACGGTCAATGAGATACAGTATGAAACAATCAATTTCATGTCAAGCAGCATCATTTCTGAAAACAACTAGTCAAACAAATGTGAATTTGCAAATCTGGACTTCACAAAGTTTATAGTCACCCCAGTTATAGCACTGAAGCTTCCCTGTTTTTTGAAGTAACTGTTCAGGAATATTATGCTTTCCTGGTTGTTTATAACTTTTATTCATGTAACACCACTCCTATTGCCTGTCAGGGTGGCAGCACAGCCTGAGCTAACAGAAACACAGCTGCCTCCATTTAAGCAATTCTGATTACCCTGAAATTATCCAGCAACTCGAATATTTTTTCACACACTGATTGGTCTGGTAGCTCCTGACAACAAAATAAAATCTTTCACCGTATCTTTCAAGTCAAACATGACAAATATAAAGTAATAATTGTGCTGTATTACCATTGTTAATTGTCTCATCAAGCTGAATTTCAAAATGCTCATGTTCATAAAGCCTTTCTCTCAGTGGATGTTTTAAATCACTTAAAAGGTATTTGATTTTATTTCTGCTAAAGTGCTATTCAAAATTGGAATGGCCCAAAGCACGAAGGGATTTGGGAGTCCTGTGTTCATTAAGCATAAAAAGCTCACATCCAAGTACAGTGGATAATAGGGGAGGCAAATGGAATGTTGGCCTTTATTTAAAAAAGAATATAAAAATAGGGAGATCTTGTTAAAACTACACAAGCCATTAGTAAGACTACACATTGAATACTGTGGAGGCAGTCCAGAGAAGGTTCACCAGGTTGATCTTGGGTATGAAGTGATTTTCTTATGAGAAGAGTTTGAGTAGGTTGGACTTGTACTCCTCAGGGTTTAGAAGAATGTGAGGAGACCTTATTGAAACATATAGAGTTCTTCTGGGGCTTGACAGGGTAGATGCAGAAAGGTTATTTCCCCTTGTGGGAGAGTCTAGGGCCAGTGGATATAATCTCAGAATAAAGAATCACCTGTTTGAGATAGAGATGATGAGGAATTTCGTCTCCAAGAGGGTACTGAATTTGTGGAATTATTTGTCATAGAGGGCTGTTGAAGTTGGGTTGTTAAGTATATTCAGGGCTGAGATAGACAGATACTTTTAATCTGTAAGGGAATCGGGTGTTATGGGGAAAGGGCAGGAAAGTGGAGTTGACGATTATTAAGATCAGAGAGGCTGACGCTTTTCTGATGAAGGGTCTAGGCCCGAAACATCAGCCTCTCTACTCCTATGATGCTGCTTGGCCTGCTGTGTTCATCCAGCCCTGCACCTTGTTGTCTCGGATTCTCCAGCATCTGCAGTTCCTACTATCTCTTGACGATTATGAAATCAGCCATGATATCATAAATAGCAGTGTAGGCTGAATGGGCTAACTGAAAGTTTCTATTCCTTTGTCTATGGTCTTGTATCACGTTGTTGCCAACTGTGGCAGTCTTCACTTTGATAATCTGTCAGCTGGACCTCAGTCATTTATTGCTGGTTTCTTCTAATGACAGTCCTTACTTTGTTTATACTTCTGTATTTTACTCTCCATTATTCTAGTATCTTGCTGAATCTTACCCGTTCCATCTATTACTTGACCTAAAAGTAAAGATGACAGTATTAGCTTGTGAACATTGGTCTGGGGGACATTTGCTTTAATGTGGCTGGTGAGTTTCCCATGTAATCTCCAAACTTTGATACCATCATTAGCGGCCAATTATCAAACATGGGTATGTAGCTTTTGGTGTGTAGGAATCTCAGAACCCCGTGGATGTTGAGCTTTCTGTCATTAGAGAAAAGCATGATAGTTATCATGATTCTAAATTGCCTCAGTTTGTGTACAACTGGGTCAACATTTGTAAGAGGTGATACTGGAATTGGCACAAGCTGCCTTCCTGATTGTGTGTCCAGTACAATGACAGGTTAATGGTAGAGAGCTCAGTCAGTTTATTTTGGTAGGGACAAGGGGACAGACATGCTGCCCACGTGCTATTGCGCATTCAATACCAGGAGGATCCCGCATTTCATTCTGTGTGGAACTGGCATAGAATGGAGTGATAACAACCCAGAAGAAGGCCGTTAGACCCATCATCTCCATGCTGTCTGTCTGTCAGAGGATCAAGTCACATATGGTCACTCACCCTGTTTCCCCCTCACATCTCTGTACATTCTGCATTTTTAAATATTTACAATATTTATAAAATGTGGAAAAAAAATTATGGCATAAGAAGAGGCCACTCAGCCCATTGTGTTGTTTCGGCTGTAAAATGATCCAAGCAGCCCCACCCCATTTTAGAATAGAAATTCACTGAATGGAAATTTAGTATCACGTGTACTTTTACATGGACAATACAGCGAAAAGTTTTATAACTCATCACCACCACAGCGCCTACATCAATGACAGAAGTCATACATAATAATTAAAAAAAGTAAAATTAAGATAAAGTTCATCATTGTTTAGTTAACAGCTCCTGGGCTCAGGGAAAGCTGATTAAGGAATGATGGAATATCCTGAAGACACAGCGGGGTGAGAAAGCCATTCCGGGACAAGACCACTATTCCGGGACGAGACCACCATTCTGGGTGAGAAAGCTATTCCGGGATGAGACCACCATTCTGGGACAGGCCAGGACAAGAACGCCACACCAGGCTGGATGCCTCCACCAAAGAAGACCGCCATGCTGGGCCGAAACCGCCATGCCACGCCATTGGAAGCTACCTCGTTGCTGGGCTGGGAGAAGCTTCCGGTTCCCCAAACGATGCTCCTCCAGATGCTGCTGCTGACCTGTTGTCTGTCCCCTTCGCAAATGCTTCCTCCTCTTCAGGCACCAGGGCCTAGCTGCGGACCTGGAGCCTCGGCTCAGCCTGCGAGTTCGGGCCGGGGATTAAGCCCAGAGCTTACTGCTCACTCGATGGGAGACCCTGGGCTGGGGTGGAGCCATGTCCAGATTGTCCTGGCTTTGCTGTCACTGCCGCTGGATGCCTTCTCCTTCACCCGCCACAATCTCGGCGTTAAAGAGAAGAAAAAAGAAAAAAAAACAAAAAAGAGCAGAAGTAAAAAAGAAAGATAGCTGACAGGAGTGGATAAGCCCCTGGCTCAGGCCCCCTAGTCTGCCACCATCTTGGATCTTCCATGCAGCCTGGGTAACAGTAGAACTGTAATAGGCAGCATATATAAGCACAGGTCATAAACAGCTGGGGCTGCTGCTCTTATCAACTATTGACTAACCCCGCTGCTAAAGTTTGCACATGTGGGTCTCCAGTGAGAGGAGGGGTGGGCTCAGTTATATTACACCATCTTGGTGGAATATTTGCCAATGTTCCATGTCCTGACTTGAACATAGCACGAATATTCACAGGAATACTGAGGGCTGCCTAGCCTCTGGGATCTCACTGCCTTTACATCCAGCAGAGATGAGGTGACATGAGGGCAAAGGTAATTCATTTGGCTGAAAGGAATGAATCTGCTCCCATCACCCTAACTAACATGGCGAATTTGGATAGATATTGGAAGGATTTGCAGGGACAGAACAGGAAACGGGGACTACAATCATAGAATTGTACAGCACGGAAACAGACCCTTAGATCCAAATTGTCCATGCCGACCAGATGTCCTAAATTAATCTAGTCCCATTTGCCAGCATTTGGCCCACATCCCTCTAAACCCTTCCTATTCATATACCTATCCAGATGCATTTTAAATGTTGCCATTGTACCAGCCTCCACCACTTCCTCTGGCAGATCATTCCATACATGCACCACCCTCTGTATTAAAAAAGTTACCCCTTAGGTCCACTTTAAATCTTTCGCCTCTCACCTTAAACCTACGCCTTCTAGTTTTGCACTCCCCCCATCCTCGGGAAAAGATGTTAGCTAATTCACTCTATCTCATGATTTTATAAACCTCTATAAGGTCACCCTCAGCGTGATGATCCGGGGAAAATAACCCCAGTCTATTCAGCCTCTCGGTATAGCACAAATCTCCAAACCCCGCAGCATCCTAGTAAAACTTTTCTGAACCCTTTCAAGTTTCTCAACATCCTTCCTACAGCAGGGGGACCAGAATTGCACACAGTATTCCAAGTGTAGCCTAACCGATGTCCTGTACAGCCACAACATGATTTGGAAAAATTTTCAGTTCTGAAGAGGGGGTCACAGGACCCAAAACGTTCACTCTGTTTTCTCTCCACGGATTCTGCCAGACCTGCTGGGTTCCTTCGGCAATGTTTGTTTCTATTTGCGAGTAATTTGGAAGCTCTCCCAAACAGCCAGCACGGGCACAATGGGCTGAGTGGCCTCCCCCTGTGCTGTGCCGGTCTATTAATTTCAGTAGGTTTAATTCAATTTCAGGCCGCTGAAAGCTGTATCTCTCGGGCCTGCTTTCGGTGAGTGCTCATTGCAAAGTTCTCCTCTCTACCATCAGCTGAGCTGGCGCTTTCCCATGTGACTCCCTCCCCCGGCAGCAGGAAGCCATGGCGTTTCAAGGTCGGCTGTCTCTCTACCTGGTTCTCTGCTTGTCCTGCTCCTTTGGGGCAGGGGAACGATACTTTAACCCTGATCTACCATGTCACAAACCGCTAGCCGGGAAAATCCGGAGCATCAAGTAAGTCAAATGATCAGCAACAAAATGTAGCGTGTGTGGTCGTAGTGAAAATCTGCTGCCAGTATTTCCCAGGCTGAAATACTGCATCGTGAGGACTAAGAGCGGAGTCCCAGGCCGACTCCCTGGCAGCACGGAACCTGCAGAAAATTAACACCGCTTGTGCCAGTCCATTGCCGAGCGCTTTGGGGAATGCTGTGGTTGTGTTTAGTGTTTAATACCTTAGGGGCTGGGGTCAGCAGCTGGGAGAGTTCCAGTATCACACTTGGGGCAAAGCTCTGGAGTCCGAAAGTGTAGCTGTACAGGGCATTGGTGAGACCAATCTCAAATACTGTGTACAGTGTGGGTCACCTTATTTAGGGATGGTGTAAATGCATTGGAGGTAGTTGAGAGGAGATTGATACCTGGACTGATTGGGTTGTTTTATGAGTTAAGTTAGACAGATTGGATTTGTTTCCACCAGAATTCAGAAGAGTCAGGAGTAACTTGATTGAAGTGTATAAGATCCTGACCAGTCTTGACAAAGTGGAAGTAGAAAGAATGTTTGCTCTAGTGGGTGAACCCAAACCCTACAGGGCTCAGTTTACAAATTAAAGATTGCCCCTTTGGGACAGGGATGGGGAATTTTTTTGTCTGAGGATTGTGCGACTTTGGAGCTCTCTGCCTCAGCAGCAGCGGAGGTGGTGTTACTGAATGTTTTTAAGATAGAGTCATGTTCGGCAGGGAAATCAAGTCTTGTTGGAGTTTGAGGAGAATGTGAAATTCGAAATCCTAACAGATCACCCGTGATCCTATTGAGTGGTGAAGCAGGCTTGAGCGGCCAAATGGCTTAATTTTGTTTAATTCACTCATGGGACATGGGCATTGCTAGCTGGCCAGCATTTAGTGCCTGTGTCTAGTCGCCCTCGAACTGAGTGGCTTGTATGACCAGTTGAGAGTCAACCACATTTTACTGTGGGTCTGAAGTCACATGTAGGCCAGACTGGGTGAAAATGGCAGATTTCCTTCACTGAGGGACATTATTGAGCCAGATGGGTTTTTCCCTCCTGACAATCAACATTGCCACCAGTAGATTCTTAATTCCAGAATTTTTTGTTTTGAATTCAAATTCCACCATCTGCTGTGGCGAGATTTGAACCCTTAAAATTAGATGAATTTCTGGATTAATAGTCTAGCAATAATACCACTAGGCCATTGCCTCCCCGTTTACCCCTAGCTCATATGTTTTATATGATTGGAGAGTTTTAGCCCTCAGACTGGTCATTTTGCATACTTTGAAGGTGAAGCAAAGGCAACAATAATAAATTCCAATTTTGTTGCTACTGTAATTCTTCTTAGTAAAATAAGTACCAACATTTAAGAAACTAGAAAAATACTTCTTGCCTTTCTTACTATTATTTACTTTTCCTCTTTTTTTCTATTCCCACTTCCCACCATCCCAGCACCCCCCCAAACAAAACATAAATTCTCATTCGTATTTTTTTTTAAGTTTTGAACCTTTGATTTTCTTTGCTTCCTGGTTCCAGTCCGACTGAGATATTTTGGTGTGAGAGAACATTTGAGAACAAGTCATTGTTGGACTGAAAACCATTTCCGCAATGTGACCCTGCTAAAACACTGAAAACTGAAGGCTAATGTACTCATATCACTGACTTAACCAACTCTATCCTGAGAGGGCTTTTTCACACCTGAAATTTGTAATTATGGCCTCTCCTGATAGTCTAGTTGGTAAAAGGACTGTGTGTTTGAGTCTACAAAACCAGAAGGACACAGATTCCTAAACCTGTGCTGAACTCAGCTTAGAAATCAGCTGGAGTACTAAATTGACCTGGACACCTCAGACCAATGGAGAGTCATAATAGTCAGGCAGCATTCCTTTTGTCTCATGACTATCTAGAAATCTTCATTGGTGAATCGGTGTGATTGTTGGTTGGGAATAGACTGGTTTCAGCTGTAACTCATCCTGAACCCTCAAACAGCCTCTGGATAATTGCTCTCCCAGAAGCCTTATGTCAACGGACAGTTAAAGACATCAAAAAATGAGACCATTGGTGAAAGCCTGCCAGCACAGCTTAATTATACCATTTTGAGGGCTAATAGTGCCAGTTAACCTCCCAGGCAGTGCAGCACACAGCTGGTACTAGCACAGTGTTGTGAAGTCTTTTTCTGTGAAATTATTTGTAAGAAAGTACCATGTTTAGTCAGTAGGTGTGGAGATTATTACATTCACTATTATATTTCCCACCCCTCTTATTCTTGGTTATTTTGGCTCTAATCATTTGGGTCACTCTCAGTCCAGGCTGACGCACCATATTTTGAGAGTACCTAGCCTTCAGAACAATGCATGGCTTAGGAAACAGAAAACTCCGACTATCAGTTACGGGGAGTCAGACTAATTTGGTCTTTCAGGGGCTGTCACAGATATGATGGACCAAATAGCCTCCTTCTGTGCTGTGTGATGTTATCTTTTTTCCTATTAAGTGGCAAAAGGGTCACCAATCAAGTACAAACTTGCTCAGTTAACAGACAAAATTGTTACAAAACCATTGGTTCTCTGACTGTTTGTAAAACTTTCATAAGTTGCATTTAGATTCTACACTAATTGGTTGTCACACTATTGCCTGGTCAAATCTCATAACATCTCTCCATTGGAAAGTCTGATGCTTTCCCTTTAATTCTGCAAATTGTGCATTCTTGGAGCATATGGAACAAATTTTCCCAAGGGAATGGTTGAATGCGTTTTCAGTACGGCTGACTTGGAAGTCTTGCCACTGAATTTAGAGAGATGACAACCAAACCAAGACCAGTACAAATGTAAACTCAGTGTGTGTTGTTATAGAGTCATACAGCACAGAAACAGACCCTTCGGTCCACATGTCCATGCTGATCATAATCCCAAACTGAACTAATTCCACCTGCCTGCGCTTAGCCCATATCCCTCCAAACATTTCTTATTCATGTGCTTACCGAAATGTCTTTTAAACATTGTAACTGTACCTGCATCCACCATTTCCTCTGGAAATTCATTCCACACACAAACCACTCTCTGTGTCCCCATGTCTTTTTTAAATCCTTCTCCTCTCACTTTAAAAATATGCCCTCTAGTCTTCAAATTCCCCCATCCTAGGGAAAAGGCACCTGCCATTCACCTCATCTATATACCTCATGATTTTGTGCACCTTTATAAAGGTGACCCCAAAAGCTCCAGTCAGGAAAGTCTCAGCCTATCTTGCCCCTCCTTATAACTCAAACCTTCCATTCCCGGCAAATCTCTTCTGAACCCTCTCCAGCTTAATAACATCCTCCCTATAACAGAGAGAGCAGAACTGGACACAGGTGAAGTGGTGCTTCTGGAGATCAAAGTTGCATTCAATCTTCAAATGATAGTGCATTAACAGTTCTATTTTGGAATAATCATAACGATAATCATCTCCTACCTTTGAATGCAGCAGAAGCCTATTTTCAAGTTGACCGAAATCATAAAAGGGAATTCTAGGTTGATGTAGCACAGAAAGAGGCCATTTAGTCCTGTGTGCCTGTACCAGCGTTTTGAAAGAGTGATTCATTTGGTTCCATTCCATGCCTTTTAAACTACAAATTTCCACCCTTAATATCTTTCCCAAAAAGTATTTAGAGAATAGTGACCAGCAAATGCATTTCTGTATAGCTAGGTGTAGCTTCAAGGGAGCTCACAAGATGCCGAAATACATTTATCTTTTGTAATCGTAGCTTGGGAGTTATACAAAGCACTGGATGTTCTCCCCACCTTATAAATTAGTATAAATTGTGCTTGTTTCTGCATCAGACATTTTTCTTACATGCAAAATCAATTTTTGCCTCAATGGACCAAACTGATAAAGGAAGGAATTTCCATTTATATTGATTCTTTCGCAAACTCCTACTGATCTTTTACGACTAAGGATATATTTTGAAGTGTGGTCATGCTGTAATGTAGAAAATGTGATAATGAATTCACACCAAGCTACCTCCTCCAAACACCATAATGCACAGTGGCCCACAGTGCCACATTGATGCCTCCTTCTGAGTTGCTAGATGTGTTCGAAATTTATCCCATTTAATTCATTGAAATGTCAAACAACACAATGGAGAGTATTCTCAGTGTGAAGGTGGGGCTTCTTCTCCTCAAGGATTAATACTGATACTGTCTTGGATTGATGGATCTGCAGCAAGTAGTTTGGGGAGTATGGAGTGAAGTAGATTTATTCCCCCTCTTCTTGGTTCCCTTGCTACCTACTGCTGACCCACTTTAGCAGCTCTGTCCTTTAGAACTAAGACAGCTCAGTCAGTAGAGGTGGTACCGAGCCATTCTTGGTGAGGGATATTGAAGATTCTCACCTGGAGTATGTTCTGAGGCCTTGCCACTCTTAGTGCTTCTTTCAATTGCTGTTCAACGTAGAGGACCACTGATTCATCAGCTGAGGAGGGTGGCAGTTCCTGATAATCAGCAGGAGATTTCCTTGCCCACATTTGACCTGATGCTATGAAGCTTAATGGGGTCCGGAGTCAATGTTGAGGATGCCCAGGTCAACTCCCTCCTCCCAGTATACTACTGATCTGGTACCTCTGCTGCGCCTGTCCTGTTGGTGGAACAGGACTTATCCAGGGATGGTGTTGGTGGTGTCTGGGACATTGTCCATAAGGTATAATGCCGTGAGTGACCTATGCCAGACTGTCACCTGACTAGTCTGTGAGGGATTTCTCCCAATTTGGTACGATACCCAGATGTTAATAAGGAGGACTTTGCAGTGTTGACAGAGTTGTGTTAACTGTGATTGTTTCCAGTGCCTAGGTCAATGCTGAATGGTCCATCCAGTTTCATTTGTTTTCTTGGATTTTGCAGCTGTTCCATGCAATTGAATGGCTTAATGGGCCATTTCAGAGGGCAGTTAAGAGTCAAACACATTGCTCTGTGTCTGGAGTTACATGTAGGCCAGGGCAGATAGGAGTGGACACGAGTGAACCTTTTTTTATGACAACCAACAATATTTTCATGGTCACCAATAGACTAGCTTTTAATTCCAGATCAATAATTGAATTAAATTCCATGGTAACGTGCAAACCCATCTTTCCAGAGTGTTACAGGTCAGACTAAACCGCTCAAAATATATTAAGAAGATAGCCTAGACCCTAACTTTTTCTTATTTTGAAGGCAACTGTAAAGTGTTGCGTTTCAGATGCAATTTGATTGGTCAAACTACTTGGCTTGAAACAAAACACACTTTATTCATACACTATAATTAATCTACAGGCAAAGGAAAAGAATTGGTTTAATTATAACTCTATTTGAAATGATTAACAAAATAATATATATTAATTACCACTAATTAATTGTTTCAATATAGTAACATCCCATAAACACACCCTTGGCAAAGGCAAATTCAGTAAAATAGATTGTCTCACATCCAATTCTAGCAGCAGGAAGAGAATCCCAGCTTTTAGCTGTAACAGAGAGAGAAAGAAGAGCTTCCACATCCAGCTTCAAGATGCCAGCAACTACAGAAAGCTAAAATTAAAAATCCTGGTTCTGTGGGAGCTTGACTCCACCCATTCAGGCTGCTTCTATTGTTCCAACTTTAAAAAAAATCCCCAAGGCCTCACAAGTTGATTATATTATTGACTTTGGAGCAGACTGCTTGGTACCTCTATGTCAACTCTTGTTCGTAAAAAATTGACAAAATAGACCTCTTAAAGCCATAGTATCATCACAAGATTGGTTGGGCCTTGGTGTTACCTTGCTGTAGTGAGATGGAAGCGTAGGACTAAATTGAGTGCTATGATTAGATTACATATAAAGGAACAGGTATTTTCCTGACCAATAGACAGCTCCAAATACTCTAGAGCCACTGGAGAATTTTCTTGCAGTTTCATGACTGTTGGAAGGTAGGAAACATGGTCACCAAATTTTATGCAGCAAGATCCTATGTAAAGCAACATGATCATGACAGAGCAATCTGTTACTGTCCAATGTCGATTGATAGATACATATCAGCAAGGATCATTCCCTTACTCTCCTCTGAGATGGTGACCTGGGATCTCTTTCATCTATCCAGCAGGAAGGTAGGGCCTTGGTTTATCATTTCATCTGAAACACTGCAGCTCTCCCTCAATTCTGCACTGGAGCGTCAGCCTTGATTTTTGTGCTCAAGCTGTAGGGCAATACTTGAGTTTGGAATGTTGTAATTCTGAGGACAGAATGTTGCCAACTGAGCCTCATCTGTTATTTTAATATCACCATTGTCTACTGTCTGGAATTGGCAGGTTTGACAGGCCGAATGGCCTCGAAATGTACCATGCTTTCAAGTAAATATCTCTCTTTCCAGGACTTATCCTCGACCTCATGAATATCTGAACACCTTCAATTTGCCAAAGGTCTGGGATTGGAGAAACGTGAATAACAAAAGTTACGTCAGTACAACCCGCAACCAGCATATTCCTCAATACTGTGGCTCATGCTGGGCTATGGCAGCAACTAGTGCACTTGCAGGTGAGCTTAAACTAGTTTCCAGTATCTGTTTACCCACCCAACTCTACTCTCTATTTGTTAAAGTATATGAAATAAAGCCAGGAATGCTGTAAATAGTCAGCACCGTCTATAGAGTAAGAAATAGTTAACTTCTCAGATCACACCATTCTCTGAGAGAAAAGAATCCTCTTCTTCTCTGTTTTAAATATGCAACCCCTTATTCTGAGATTATGTCCTCTGGACCTAGACTCCCCCACAAAGTGAAACAAGCTTTCAGCATCTACTCTGTCAAGGCCCTAAGAATCTTGTATGTTTCAGTCAAGTCCCTTCTCAGTCTCCTAAACTCCAGTGAGTACAAGCCCAAACTACTCAATCTGTCTTCATAAGAAAACCCCTTCATACTCAGGAACAACCTTGTAACCATTTCTACACTGCCTCCAATGTCAGTACGTCATTCCTTAGACAAGAGAACTGGAGCTGTTCACAGTATTACAGCTGTGGTCTGACTACTAGCTTGGATTTTTAACAAAATTATTTTTATACTGTACTTTCTTTGAAATAAAGGCTGACATTCTATTTACTTTCTCTATTGCCTACTGAAATTGGAGTCTAGCTTTTTGTGATGCATGCACACTGTGACAATGATATGGCCTTAGGAGGTGTACTTTGTCCTTTTTTTGTGAAGTAAGGTTGAGACAGAGGTGCTGAGCAGGCTGCTCCAAAGCCAATAAAGTAAACAACTTATGAGGCCTTGGGGTTGTTTTAAAGCTGGAACAATAGATGCAGCCTGAATTGGTGGGGTCAAGCTCCCACAGAACCAGGATTTCTAGTTTTAGCTTTCAGCAGTTCCTGGGGTCTTGAAAGGGGATGTAGAAGCTCTTCTTCCTCTCTCTGTTACAGCTAAAAGCTGGGGTTCTCTTCCTGCTGCTAGAATTGGATGTGAGACAATCTATTTTACTGAATTTGCCTTTGCCAAGGGTGTGTTTATGGGATATTACTATATTGAAACAATTAATTAGTGGTAATTAATATATATTATTTTGTTAATCATTTCAAATAGTTATAATTAAACCAATTCTTTTCTTTTGCCTGTAGATTAATTATAGTGTATGAATAAAGTGTGTTTTGTTTCAAGCCAAGTAGTTTGACCAATCAAATTGCATCTGGAACACAATGCCTTACAATTACCTTTAAAATAAGAAAATTTAGGCTCTAGGCTATCATCTTTACATATTTTGAAGGGGTTAGGTCTGATCCATAACAGTGAGTTCTCTTAAAACCCTCTGTTCCATAGCTTTCTGCAGTCTTTCCTCATTTAAATAACCTTACAGTTAGTAAATTACCTCTGGAAGAGTGCTGAGTGTTGTAATGTCTGAGAGAAAAAAAGACTTGGGATGCAGGAATCATTTTCTTGGCTTTCACAGATCGTACCAACATCAAGAGGAAAGGTGCATGGCCGTCTGCGTACTTATCTGTCCAGAATGTTCTAGACTGTGGAAATGCTGGCTCTTGCTTTGGGGGAGACCATTTGGCAGTTTGGAGTTATGCTCATGATAATGGAATACCGGATGAAACCTGCAACAACTACCAGGCTAAAGACCAAGGTAAGTTCTCTTCTTAATTTCCCTTCTAAGAAAAGTTTAGACTTGGCAGAAGGTGGCAGCCTAACGGTAGGTGCTGCAGGATTAACAATCCAATCACCCACATCATATTCTGGGAAGCCGAGTTCAAATCTCACCATGACAGATGGTGGAATTTAAATCCAATGAAAATCTGAAATTAAAAGTCTGATGATGACCATTGTCAAAACCCAGCTGGTTCACTAATATCCTTTATGGAAGGAAACTATCTTCCTTACCTGTCTGGCCTGGATGTGACTCCAGACCAAATCGATGTGGTTGACTCTTGTCTGCCCTCTGAAATGTCCCAGCAAACTACTTAGTATCAACTACTAGAAAGGCGAAAAAAAGGAAACTCAAAGCTGCTTAAGCCATGAAGCTGAAACAAACAATGAGAGTGCTGTGATGGTAAATAACTGCAAATAGTGCCCATCTGTGACACCAGATAGTTTAACAATTCATTTTGTTTTGCATGTAGTTGTCAGCTCCGGTATTATTACAGAGCAGTGAATAGTGTAAATGGTGGACTTATGACTGAGTGAAGCAAGTTTGTGGACATTTCAAATTTTTTTGCCCTTTATTTTCAGAGTAACCAGTAATAAGGTCTAAACCCACCATGCGTAATTTGAAGACCTCTGGCTTTTAAGGGAGGTAATTTTTGGTCACTTAGATTTTGATGTGCACTTATTGATTGTTACATTTGTTTGCTGTAGAGTGTAAACCGTTTAATCAGTGTGGCACATGTACCACTTTTGGTGTCTGCAGTGTGATCAAAAACTATACCCTGTGGAAAGTTGGAGATTATGGTGAAATTAGTGGACGTGAGCAGATGATGGCAGAAATCTACACCAATGGGCCTATCAGGTAATGGACTGCTTAGTCAAACCTGTTGTATTGTAACGTCCATTAGCCTTCCTAACAGCTTGCTGCACCCACATGTTAGTCTTCAGTGACATATTGACAGGGACACCCTGTTCCCTTTGTATGACTATACTTTGTAATATCTTAGCATTTCAGAAATTCTCTGCCCATCTGATCTTCCTGCCAAAGTGGAGAACCTCAGATTTTTCCACAATATATTCGATCTGTCATGTTCTTGCCTAATCTTTAAGTCTATGAAAATTAAAGTAGCTTTGCATCTTTCACACAACACACATTCCCACCTAGCTATGTGTCATTGGTGAACATGGTAGTATTACATTCAGTCCCCCAGTTCCAGATATTTTTTATTCAATCTGCTCAGAAATGTTATTACATATCTCTAGAGCAGGTGGGACTTGAACCCAGGCCTCCTGGTCCAAATCACTGCAGTACAACAGTTCCAGTCCTCACTTCTGGATATTTTCTACTCAACCTGTTTGGACAGACCCTAGAATCAGACACTGAAAATGGCAAACAAAAAATAGAAAACTTGTTGACTCTGCAAAGTCCTCCTTATCTGGGGGCTTGTGTCAAAATTGGGAGAGGGGTCTCACAGACTAGTCAGGGAATAGTCTGATATAGTCTGACTCATGAAATCATACTTTGTAGACAATGACCCAGACGTCACCACCACCATCCCTGGATATCTCACTGGTAGGACAGACTCAGCAAGGATGACAGCTCAGTGGTATACAGTCAGGAGAGAGTTGCCCTGGTAGTCCTCAACATTGAGTCTGGACTCCATGTTGCTTCAGGTCAAACTTGGGCAAAGAAATCCCTTGTTGGTTACCATGTACCACCTGTTCCGTCTCAGCCTTCTCCATAGGTTCAGCATCAAAATCTACTGCCAATTCAATTGACTCCTTGTAATACCAAGAAATGACACCGGATACTGCAAAGGCTCTGGACCCTGGACATTCTAGCATTAGAACTGAAGACTTATGCTCCAGAACTTGCTGCACCCCTAGCTAAGATCTTCTAGTACAGCTACAACACTGGCATCTACCCGACAGTGTAGCAAGCTGCCCAGGTATGTCCTATTTACCACAACAGTTCAAATCCAACTGAGGCAATGACTGCACCATCAGTCGATCATCACTAAAATGATGGAAGGATGAATAGATCATACTTTGCTTTGGTTTTAGTGAAGTTGTCTCTTGCTGAAACACAAGTATGCAACGTTTCAGATTTAGCTTTAACAATAAAATGGAAGTTTATTACAAAAGGAAGACAGAATAATCCAAACTACCTACTACAATACAAATGCAAAAGTTTTAAGTGCACAAAGTATAATCCCACTAATCCCAAAAGCTTCCTTATAAATTAAAAAAGAAACAAAACGTTTTTGTACGGTACCCAAAACACTACTCCTGGTACAGTTCCCAACAATGCCACTTGTATAATATTCACAGTGGAATCCCAATATCTAACACCTCGGTAGGTTTAAGTCAGTTTGCAACTTCAACTTTTAGACCGCAACTGTGATAGCTTCTTTTGGCGGCAATACCTCAGCTTCAATGCACTCAGTTTAAACACTTATTTCTGGGTTTGTATGGCAACACTTCTGCACTAGGACTAGCACTGACTTTTCACTCAAAGGTAATCTAATTCATTAGATCTATTATTCCTTTCTCAGGAGCATTGCTATATACAATCATTGTGTTCCAAGTTCTTCCCAGGACTAACATTACCCAGAGGCTTTGGGACAAGTGCTGGAAGATGGGATTAGAATAGTTAGGTGGTTGTTTTTGACTGGGCAGATTTAATGGGCCAGAGGTCCTTTTTCTGTGCTGTTGACCTCTATGACTCTATGACAAAGTTAAAAAGTGAAACCTAAATTCTCTCAGTTGTGGGCATTTTCCTCTAGCTTAAAAAAAATTCCAGAACTCTTTGATAAAAACTTTTGAGACTCCATTCTTTACCACGCTAGGTCACAAACGCATGAAAATAAACAAAAATCTAGTCATGCACAAAATCCATTCAGTCTACAGCCAGGCTTCAAAAACTGCTTCTTAAAATAAATCACCGTGGCTACAGAAATACTTAAGTTAACAATTAATTTCAGACAACACAGGAAACCCCATCAGTTACTAACTCAAAGAAAACTAGACCCAAACATATCCTAAATATCATTTAAAAGTATACATCTAAATCTCAGTGTCTTTATTACAAGTCTATATCACCAAATCCTCAAATGTTGACTGTCTGTATCACTGATGCTCAGTTGTAGTAGTGTGTACCATCTACAACCTGCACTGCAGAAATTCACCAGGTCTTCTTAGGCAGCACTTTCTAAACCCACGACTATTTCCATCTAGAAGGACAACAGCAGTGGATACAAAGGAACACTACCACCTGCAAGATCACCCTTCAAGTCACTCACCATCCTGACTTGGAAATGTATTGCCGTTCCCTCGGTGTCACTGCTAGTAATCATCCTTTCCGCTGAGGGTATGAATGATGTTTGCCTCGGAAAGTTGTGGCAAAAGTTCTTCAATGGCCGACATTAGGGAGTGAGATCTCTTCAAAGCATGGTTGAGATCTTTTCGATGTATGCATCTCTTCTGGCATGTTTTGGGTTACTAATCCAAACCTCGACTGAGTTGAATGGATTTTGCTTAAAGTCTTATCACTGGAACTTGAGATGTTCACTCTTCCCATTGCATTGGGCTTTCAGCTTAATTTGTTCTCTTGGATTGAATATCGTTCCATCATATAACTTCAACCTACTTTTGTAGGCTTAATTTTTGCTTATCTAGAGTCACTTTGCACAGATCTGTGAAACTCAAAGTTGCGTAGAACACCAGTATCTATTTGGCACTTCATGTTGAATTGACACTGTTCTCCAGCAGATATCATTCTAATAGTCAGAGACTAAAGCCTTTAGACCCGACGATGCCATCCTATTTCATAGTATAGAGTGATTGTCAGAGCCATCAGCTGACATCTCTCCAGCAACCATCTCTATAGTCTTGTTTTGCTTCTTTCCAGCTAACCACTTGTGTATAAAGTGATCCAGCTCTTTACTCTAGTTCTAACCTCTTTGCTGTTTTTTCCAAATCTGTTCTATCATTCAGCCAGGAATATCGCTCAGTGTAATGCAATGCCTTGTTTGTTCTCCCATTAACTGCTAGCTGATGAGTAGCAACCTCAAAGCAAGTAATTTCCCACAAGATAATTTCTTGCCTTTCCTATTTCTCATCTCTATCCAAACTGTTTCCACATCTTGGCTTCCTAAATAAAAACATGAGCTTTTTTTTTATGCAGGGCATTCCAGATTGTAACAATGCACTGGGTTCAAAAAGGAACTTTTAATCTCTTCCTCAAAATTATTTTGCAAATCATTTTCAAATCTCTATCAACTCATGCCAGTGGAGACTTTTTGGAATCGTAACCCTTTGTGCTCTATCTGGGTTCTAGCTGTGGTATCATGGCAACGAAGAAACTGGATGCCTACCGTGGAGGAGTGTTTGCAGAATACAAGCCACTGGCCATCACGAATCACATTGTGTCAGTAGCAGGCTGGGGTGAGGATGATGATGAAACAGAGTACTGGATAGTACGGAACTCCTGGGGTGAACCATGGGTGAGTGCAATACTCCTCTTGTATAGTTCCTTGTGCTGCAGAGCAAGTACCTTCAGGGTCAATATCCAGTTGGAAATGATGGTGGCTGTTGCAAAGCGCAATGGAGAAGGGTCTAACCATTGTAAATATTGCAAGTATTCTAGACAGAGTGAGTGAAGTGTCAAGACAGGAATGCCCTTGGCCAACAGACAATGGAAAAAATGTCTACTTAATTTTAACTCAAGCAGTACCCTCCAGTAGACTCTTCACTGAGCCAGCCACAATGTCACTTTTTAATAGAAACTTGTTGAAAATTGAATCTTTGGTAACATTTTGTCCATCAAGCTCACTTACTTCTAAACTTATTGATGAGCGATACCACAAAGCAGATCCGTTGCGTAGTTCATTTTTAGTTTCTGTAATTATCAATGTAAAACATTGGAATTATTTAAAATGGTTGATTAGTTGCTTCTCTCTGTGATCGCCACAGGGAGAGTCCGGGTGGCTGCGGATTGTCACTAGTCTCTATAAGGATGGGAAGGGCAATCATTACAACCTTGGCATCGAACAGCTGTGTGGCTATGGAGATCCTGTACTACAATGAAGAGCTGCTTTTGCAATGACAAAGGAACTTGGAGTGGAGTAGCCATATTTTATCTGTATGAACTTGAAATCAATGTTAATACAACCCTGTATAAAGCTGCAGAGTATGACAAATCAGATCAATATCGCATATATGCAACATACGGCAGAGTGGGACTGAAACTCTACAATTTTGTTTGAACCTTTTCAAAAAGGATTGAGACAACGTCCCCTCTGCACTTTCTCTAGTGTCTTGCTGTGTTATAATTCCACTGTCACATGTGGCCATCTGAATCATTGCTTGACACGGATGTGTTGGAATCAGAGGCTATTTACCTACAGCCCTATCCTATTCACATCCTACACATATTTCCCAGCAATGGTCACTGAATTCTGCCCCAAATCGCGGTCCAATGTTAAGGAACACTGTTAAGTAATCTTGCAACATCTTGGAAACAATATGGAATCATCGTATAATACAGTGGATTCAGCTGGCCCATTTGGTCCATCGTATCTCTACCAGATCTTTGAGAGAGCCATTCAATTTACTCCACTCCCCTGTTCTGCTTCCCATTCTCCTCAGATACTTATCTAACACCCTTCTGAAAATTATTATTGAATCTTCATTTATCACTCCTTCAGAGTGCATTCCAGATCATAACAGGAAAAAGTCTCTCAATGTTGTTTCTTGTTCTATCTCAAAATCTGTGTCCTCTGGGTAACTGATCATTTTGCCATTGAATCGGTTTCTTTTTGTTCACTCCATCAAAACTCATGATTTACAACATCTCTATTAAAATCACCCCTGAATCTCCTCTGCTGTATGAAGACCAACATGTAACCAAGGCAAAAACACACACACAGAGTAACAGGACCACCAGTCCACACAGAGGTACAGGCAACCATTTTACAAGTTAATTGACTCCAACAATGTTGGATTTTTCAATGTTTCATTTTTTAAGCTTCAAAATCTTTCACAGAAATGATTACAGCACTGGATCTCTGAATGAGCAATACATCTGCTGCAGTGTCCTAGGTTTCTCCACTGCACATTCTCCCTGCATTCCCTCTCAAATGTTTCAATTGAACCAACCTTTCATATTAATTATGTTGGTCAATTGGTTTTCATAGAACCCGTACGTATGAAAAAAAAAGTAAAACAATGAAATGATACAGCAATTTAAAACGATTTATTAATCAACAGTTATATTTTATTTCTATGCCAAAATTCCACTCAGTAAAATGATTAAAACCCCGAAATAAAGATTTAAAATAGGACTTTTTTTTTTTAAAAATAGTCATCTCATGTGTCTATGTTTACAGACTGTTACACTGCAGTGAAAACTGTACTTGATGGAATTATGATGGTAACCAGTTACAAACACATCAACATTTGGCTTCAGTTATTGTGGGGAGACATTGATCTTTGATGGTATGGATTATAGGCACAAACCAATCTGGAGTCTGTTTTAGACGCTGTCCAATGTTGCAAGGGAGGTGACATTTATGCCACTGGAACCTCAGGATAATGTTTTGGGGATACAGTTTTAAATCCAACAAAGCTAACCTCAGTAATGGTGAACATGTCAATTATCATTAATTTTTGTTAAAATCCCATCTAGTTCAGGAAATCTTCCATTTCTTACCCAGTCTGGCCTACATGGACCCACTGTGATTTGTTTGACTGCCCTCTGAAATGACCGAGTAAACCATTCCATTCAAGACCAGTTAGGATTGGACATTAATCGCTGCCAGCAACACCCTTGTCTCATGATAGAATTAACTGATAATGGGTCATGGGTTTCATCATCCACCCTGCTCTCTACTGATCCATTTTACTCCGCTTAAATCTGATTCAACTTGTTTTTATGTAGTATAAAAGATGGATGGGATTGCAACTAAACGAAAAATTGTTTAAGTGAAGAAACAAAGATATCATCCATGATTTCTGTTTTCTTTATTAGTAGGTGAATTCTTTTTGAATTTGTTGAAATATTAGATAAGAGATGGGAGATTAACCTAGACATAAATCAGAATAGTGACCATTACGTGAATATGTTAGATTTTTGAATTACTGAAATTTTACACAATCACAGTCATAGTTCCAGGTTTTTGCACAATCCCATCAGGCATCAGTAAGTTTCTGTCAAAAACAGACTGCCAAGTTTTAAATAAATGATGTTGAAGGGGTGGGAGAGGTTTGAGCCTAGTCTGTGCGTTAAGTAACTGACATGACCAGATGCGATTCTGACTTTACACCTTATCGAACACCTCACTTCATCGAAGTCATTGTAAACCAGAGGTCTACCCAAATCCATACCTCCCCCATCCACTGCACCATCAGTGTTAGGTTACATTTATTGCCATCATCAGACTCTCCAAAACATTTAACAGCAACAGTAGAAAGTTCAATCAACATAGTTCATAGAAGATACATATTGCTGATGCTTGAGGGAGAGCAGGACCAGTTTGCTATTATGATTTTTGTTACAAATATCGGCACGGTATGGCTATCACAGCCGCTTGTCCCTGTTGAGTTACTTGTAAAGATTCAGCAGTGTGATTTCACTACGGTTTCACCAGTGCATGTTCTGAAATGGTCGTTATTTGGATAGCGAGTGACTTGTGCCTTCGGTGCCGTCATCCCGTTCATAGGCCACGGGCTGTAGTTCTTTAACAATCTGACACACCATCTCCAAAGTGCCAGCTGCCACCACTCTCCGAGACATTAGGTCCAGTGGTCCTCCTAGAAACAGGATTATCAGAACTGAAGGCTGCTCTGTAAAAGCAGGTTGAATTTTTCACAAACCTGAAGATAAAACTTGGATGTTGTAAGCTTTGACAATGCTGGTAAAAAAATATCAACCTGTTGAGTGTCAACACTCGACTTATCTCAATGATGTCCACAAAGTAATATAGAAACATAATAACAGAAAATCTGGGAATGAGTGAGGGAGAAACAGATGAAAATGATACGATTGACAACAGTTGTAAAATGATCTGAGTCAACAAGTTTGCTCCGTATCAATGATGGCATTCAGCACTGCCCAACAACATTGTGTCTGTACCGACACTACACAGACTGCAGCAGTTCACCACCAACTTTTCAAGGGCGATTAGGAATGGATAGAAAATGCCATGCCCACAGCCAATGTTGCTGACAAAGGGGCAGTAGGTGCTATGGAACAGATGATGCCCAGACAAAAAAAAAAGTCAAAACGAGTGGTGGTGATGGGTGAAATGGAGGGATTGAGGTGCAAAACTGGTTTTAACATTAGGCATGGATAGTTGAAAACAGGTGGTCTTTGCACATGGCAAACAAGAGATGGGGGCTTGGGGGTGACAAAGGGGAGAAATGTAATCAAAACAGAAGACAGAGGTCATGCTATGAAGTTGTTGAACTCAATGTTGAGTCTTGAAGCCTGTAAAATGCCTAGGCAGGGGGTACAGTTACTCCAGCTTGCACTGGGCATTGCTGGAACATTGCAGCAGACTTAGGGTGGAAAAGTAAGCAAGATGGTGTACTGAAATTACAAGCAACTGGAAGGTCAGGATCATTCTTCCGCAAAGCTGTCACCCAGTCTGAGTTTAGTCTCGTCAATGTAAAGGAGACTGTATTGTGAGCAGTGAATACACCAGATTAGGTTGAAAAAAGCACAAGTGAAACACCGCTTCATCTGCAAGGTTTGGCACCTTGGGCAGTGAGGAGAGAAGCCATGGAGGGAGTGAGGAAGTGTTAGGAACAATGAATGAGTGGACGAGAGTGTCATTGAGGGAATGGTCCCTGTGGAATGCTGACAGTGGAGGGAAGGGGTAGGATGTGTTTGGTGGTGGCACTTTTCTGAAGGTGCTGGAATGGTTTAGGATGATCCCTCGAATGAAAATACTGGTGGCAAGTAAGGACAAGGGAAACTCATTGTTGTTTTGGGAGGAAGGAAAAGGGGTGATGGCAGAAGTGTGGGAAATAGGGTGGGTGGGCACAGTCTTTGGTTGTAGATTGAGGAGGAAATATCAGAAATATCTCTGTGAAGGTGGCATCATCAGAACAGATGCAACAGAGACAGAGAAACTGGGAGAATGGAACAGAATCCTTACAGGAAGTAGGGTGAAAGGAAGTGTGAGCAAGACATAAAATGCAGGTAAGTCAAGGACGTTGACTAGCTGACCAGGTTTTCAGCAGCATAGATGAAGTAGTCTCAGCCCTCCATATTAACAGACCACCCCCTGCATATTTCATTAGGGACACCGCTCTCAAGTTATGATTGATTTAACTTGAGTCAATCAGTGAACGGCTCTGCTTGCTAATTGTTAGACATCAGAGGGAGGCAACTTCAGAGGCAACCACAGTCCATGGAAATGGAAGGAAATAGGATGGGCTTGATACTCACTGGATACTAACTCAGAAATGGAGAAGAGAGTGTGGTACTACAGGCTTTGAGCCTGGGCTTCTTGGCTGGATTTGATCCCAAAAAACTGAAGCGCCAACACTAGACCAAATTTAATTGGTCGGTGTCTCCCTACCTGCTGTATCCATCATGATTCCTCCAGCTTCCCGTACAATGACAGCTGCAGCAGCCATATCCCAACAATGGAGGCCAAACTGGTAAAAGGCATCGACATCTCCGGCTGCAACGTGGCACAGATCCAGAGCTGCGCTTCCCACAATCCTGATGCTGGGAATCAATAGAAAACAACAAACAAAATAATATCAGTGCGATTGAAGTCCAAAACCTGCACGGAGAAAGCCCAGCAAAAATAGTTCATTATTCTTGCCTTAACATTTTGGAAATTTGAAGGGTCCTTCCTTTCAGGGAAGAAAGGGATTTGAGGTGTTCTCCTCGTTTAACCCCAGTTTCAAACCGTGGGCATTAAAGTGAGGATGTTTACATCTACAAGTTATCTTGTTCTAATGATCAGGCAAAGGTATGGGGCATGGGGAATGTACAGTAGGGCCAGAATTGGAAACACATAGAGCTCTCCTGACTGTTATCCAGCTGCAGAAGGTTAGAGAGATAGGGAGGGATTAGGCCATAAAAAGGGATCAGAATACAACAAAGAGTATTTAGTATCAGAGGCTGTGAAACACTAGGATGTAGATCAGTGAGCAATTGAGAGTTTAGAAGAATGAGAAGTGCTCTCACTGAAACACTAGGATTCTTAAGGGACTTGGCAGGGTAAATACTGAGATGTTTCCTCTTGTGGGAGACTGCCATACTCTCAGAATAAAAGGGCACCAATTTAAGACTAAGATGAGGAGGAATTTCTTCTCTCAGAGGATTGAGAGTCTTTGGAACTTCTTGCCACAGAGAGCTATGGGGGAAAGAGTCCTTCAGCATGATTGATTAGATCTAGATAAGATCGATAGTGCACCAAAAGTTTTGAGAAGAACACAGAGTTGTAAAACAGGTGCTCGTAGATTCGGGACACAAATTCAAGGATTTTGGAGAGGAAAGAGAGGTTAGACATAATGTGGCAGTTTACAAGGATGAGAGAAGACCACCATAAATTATATACGTAGGAGCAGAGGTAGGTCATCAAATCTGTTCTGCCATTCATTAACATGACGGCTAATCTGATAATGCACAACTCCACCTTTTTGCTTTGTCCCTATAACCCATAATTCCCTTACCCATTAAAAATCTGTTTCTCGGCCTTGAATAAACTTAAATGACTCAGCCTCGACATCTCTCTGCAGTAAAGAATTTCACAGATTCATTATCCTCAGAGAAGAAATTCCTTTTACTCTGTCTTAAAATGTGCAACCCCTTATTATGCCTTCTGGTCCTAGTTTCTCCCTTGTGGCAAAGTCAATCTTTCTGCATCTATTCTGTTGAAGAGGCTAAGGGGTGACCTTATAGAGGGGAATGGATAGGGTGAATAGCCAAGGTCTTTTCCCCAGCGGTGGTGGAGTCCAAAACTAGAGGGCATAGATTTAAGGTGAGAGGAGAAGATTTAAAAGGGGCCTAAGGGGCAACTTTTTCATGCAGAGGGTGGTGCATGTATGGAATGCCAGAGGAAGTGGTGGAGGCTAGTACAACTATAACATTTAAAAGGCATCTGGATGGGTATATGAATAGGAAGGGTTTAGGGGGATATGGGCCAAATGCTGACAAATGGGACTAAATTAATTTAGGATTTCTGGTCAGCATGGACGAGTTGGACCATGATGTTTCCATGCTGTACAGCTCTATGACTCTAAGTCTACTAAGAATCTTGTTTCAATAAGGTCACCTCTCATTCTTATAAATTCCAATGACAAGTCCAACCTCTTCTCCTAAGAAAATCCCTTCAACCCAATGAACCTTGTGCTACTTGAATATCAAGGGCTACTTTTAGAAGAGGTGGTGATGATTGATTACAGAGTTTGAAAGGGATGGGGCTGGTGCCAGATGAGATAGACAGAATCACTTACAATGTCAGTTCCCGTGGGAGTCAGGCAGGACAGCTGAGTGGACAATAGTTTAGAGAAAATGAGGTCAAGAGACCAAATGGTGATGTGCAAGATGTTGAGAGGATGATGGGAAATGGTAGAGAAACTAGAAAGTTCGAATTGTAAACAGTTCAACATGAATAGACGAAGGAATAAGTCAGAAAACAGTGGAAATACAGAGCAGTCAACATCCAAAACAGAATGACAGTTGCTGCTTTGGCGAATAACCTTAAACATCTTCAGTCTTTTATGTGGAGGTTACAGTGTTGGACTGGGGTAGACAAAGTCAGAAGTCACATGGTTATATTCCAACAGGTTTATTTGAAAACACAAGCTTTCAGAGTGCTGCTCCTTCATCAGGTGAAGTGGAGGGAAGTGCACAGGCACAGAATATATAGGCAGAGAGATAATGGCAAGATAATTCCAGCTAATTAGGGCTGCCAAGAGATAAGCACAAATCTGTCAACAAAAAAAAAATTGAAAATTTGGGGCTGTTTTTAGTTTTTTATGTCTCCTTTCATGGGATGTGGGTATCAGTGGCAAAGTCAGCAATTGTGACCCATTCCCCCATTGCCCTGAGATTGGGAGTTTTGTTAGGCCATTCCAGAGGGTATTTAGGAGTCATGTGGGTCTGGAGTCACAGGTAGACCACACTAGGTCAGGATATCAGGATAGAGATGAAGCAGATGAAGCAGGAATTGATTGTAGTTCACGGGTACCATTTACTGAGTCTAGCTTTATTTTTATGAATTGAACTCAAATTTCACCAGCTGCTGTGGTAGGGTTCAAATCCATTTCCCCAAAACCTTTTATTTGGTCTCTGGATTACTCCTCTAGTGGCATTAAGACTATGCACCAATCTTTCAATTAATGATATTCAGATCTAAAGAACTTAATTCTTGTTAATACTTTCTAAACCTCGTAAATAAATTATAACTCTTTTATTCACGCTTAAACCCCTCAGATTTTACTCTGCATTTGGAAAAGGTTTTGCGATAATCTAACAATTAGTGGATCAGGAGTAAGCAGCCTGCCTTCATTGTAAAAGAATGTTTTAAAGCTCTGTTGAACATTGGTTAACAACTGCATTATTTAGACCTTCTTACCCATGGGCTGACACCTTTAGTAACCTCTCCATGTTACTAAACAGCAGCTTTACTGCCATAGGATCACGAATCGAACCAAGTTCAGTTAATATCAGAGCCTTTGACAGGTCTGGAAGAGAAGACAGAAAGTTGTTCGGTGAACTTACATTAAACCCCGTCAGATCAGCACTGCTCAAAACAGAAAAGGTGTGTGTTAGCTCCAAAGTCCTTTGAACTGTAGTACCCTCTCTACATGACTGGCTCACTCCAGGACAAGAGAGCTGTTCAGTCTAAACACCAACAGTAGAATAAATGGGGGCCTGGGGAGCACATTGTTTAATTGAATGATTTTTAAAAAAATTTCTGCAGCTTGAGTTTAAACACAGACTAGAACAACAGTTTGAAAATCTTCCTCTCGGATTACATTTCACCCAGAAATTAATGTCTCTTATATCTGAATGGAGAGGGCAAAACGTGAGGAAACGCTCTCTGATCAGCTCACACATCCATGAGTTTTTAAAATAACACATTACACATTCTGTATAGCACAGAAACAGGTCAAAATGCAGATGGGTCGTGTCCCATCCTCCCTCAGCCACATGTCCGTCTACTCCTGAACAGAAGTCTTAATACTGGTTATATGTCAGAGATATTTTTACTGTCACAGTAAATACATTCATTTTTATATACAGATTGGATTCCAGAGAGCAGAAGGTTTCCTGAACACTAAGATTTAGTATGTACAAATAGAGGAGAAGGGATTCACAAGGATGGTTCCAAGGAGGAGGAAATTCAGGTATGTAGATAGATTGGAGAAGTTGGAACAGTTTTCCCCAGAAAAGAGGGATTTGAAAGAGATGTTCAAAATCACAAAGGTTCTGGTCAGTGTAGACAGGGTGAACTAGCAAAAATGAGAGGACCCAGGTTTAAAAGCAGCATGGAAACATGAGGAGAAGTTTCATGTGACCATTGCTACGATCTGGAATGCACAGCCTGACAGGGTGTTGGAGGCAGATTCTATTATGTTGTTCAAGAGGGAACTGAATTATGACCATAAAGGAAGAATTAGGAGGGTTGTGGTGAGAAGTAGGGGACTACTGTTAGGTGTGTTGCCCTGGTGAAGAGCCAGCCCAGAGTTAGATGTGATCCATCCAGACTGGGCAATGCATCCCCTCTGAGCACAGCCAGGCTTTGCCATACCTCCTGCTCCCCCAATTTTCACCTACGCATTCCCTCCACTACCACCTGATATTTTGTCTTCCTTAGTAAACATTGATAGAGTACACAAGTATTCTAACCTTGCCCAGAGTCTCTAAACACATAGCACTCTTTTTGGTTACAAAGAGCCCTTATCACCTCATACTAGATCCCCTTACTGTTTACATCTGGTAAATGACAGTTGGGCTATCTTTTCTGTTAATTGCCATTCTATTCTCATCTTTTTTGACCAATTTTACTTTCCTCTTTTCAACATATTCCATTTAGCCTGGCTCTCACTCAAATCAAAGATAAAACAAACAAAAAATGTGGGTTTATGGTGTACGTTAGAGGAATTCCTTTTCTTTCATCATGTTCTCCATCTTCCTTATCATCTAAAGGAAAAATGGTATTGCTTCCTGTACCCGTGGTTCTTGTTGGAATGTACCAAACATGTTTTTCCCTCAAAAGTTCACCCACTGCTCCATTACAGTTTATCCTGCCAGTCTTGACTAGCTAGATTCCCTCTTTTCCATTGAAGTCAGCCCTCTTCCACTTCGTATGTTCTACTTTAAAAACTTCTTTCCTTGCTGTTTTCCATTGCTAATGCACACTTTATGATACAACGTTCACTGTTACCCAAGTGCTCTCCCACAGACACTTGGCCATCTAATTCTCCAGCACCAGATCCAGTAATGCCACTTTGCCAGTTAGACGAGGAACTTACGGTCAAGGAAGTTCTCCTGAAAACAGTTCGCAAATTCCTCCTCATCCTTATTCTTCACACTAATGTTATCCTGATTGGCATTTGGGAAAGTCAAATCTCCTGAAATCACCTCTCTAATTCTTGCATATCTGATTCCCTTGCATATTTGCTCCTCTAGCTAACAGCAGTGTCGTTATCATATCGTTTTGTTGAACTCTTAACCAAATGGAATCTGTCCTTGTCCCTGGAAGGACATCTTCCTTTCCATATCTTGCCTAATCAATACTGCCACCTCACCTCCCAATTTTCCTTCTCCGTATTTTCTGAACACTTTGTATTCTTGAATATCAACCAGGAAGCTCACCATTTATAAAGCCATGATTCTGTTGTTTTCACTACATCATAGACCCATATGAAAAATAGGTATGTGTGTGCTTGGAACTCACCAACCTTATTCACCACTGTGAGAGCTTATATACAGGCATTGGAAATTTATCTTTGTATTCCTCATAGATCTGTTTAGACTCTTTCCTGATATGGTCGTACTTAGGCTCATAGAATCCCTACCGTGCGGAAAGAGGCCATTTGGCCTATTAAGTCAGCCCCGACCTTCTACAGAGCATCCCACCTAGACCCAGTCCTCCACCCTTTCCCCACATTTATCATGGATAATCTGTATAGTCTGCACATCCCTGGACACTACTGACAACATTACTGAAGGCCTGTCCTCCAGAACATGCCGTTGCCCTGGCTTAGATGTACTAGTACAGTTACAACACTGGCATGTACCCGACAATGTGGAAAATTTCCCTGGTATATCTTGTCCACAAACAGCAGGACAAATCCAACACAGCCAATTACTGCCCCATCAGTCTGCTCTTGATCATCAGTAAAAAGATAGAAAGAGCTGTTGACAATGCTGGCAAGCAGCATTTAGAGTCATACAGCACGGAAACAGACCCTTCGGTCCATCTCGTCCATGCCACTCAGATATCCTAAATTATCTAGTCCCATTTCCAGCATTTGGCCTATATCCCTCGAAACTCTTCCTATTCACCTACCCATCCAGATGCCTTTTAAATACTGTAATTGTACCAGCCTTCACCACTTCCTCTGGCAGCATTCTATATAAACACCACTCTGTGTGAAAATGTTGCCCCTTAGGTCCCTTTTATATCTTTTTCCTCTCAACTTAAACCTATGCCCTCTAGTTTTGGACTCCCCTACTCTGGGGAAAAAGGACGTTGACTATTCACCCTATCCATGCCCCTCATGATTTCAAAAACCTCTACAAGGTCACCCCTCAGCCTCTGACACTCAGGGGAAAACAGACCAGCCTATTCAGCCTCTCCCTATAGCTCATTACAGCCTTGTTTCAAACATGGACAAAAGGGCTGAAACCTGGAGGTGAGGTGAGAGTGACAGCCCTTGACATCAAGGCTGCATTTGACCAAGTGTGGAATCAAGGAGCCCTGGCAAAACTGGAATCAATGGGAATCAGGGGAAAATTCTGTGAAGTGCTCAGAGGTGTTTGCCCATATGGGATGCACCAAGATGTCGTGTCTATTCTGCATGACTAGAGAGTGGTACATATTAATAGGCTGGTAACAGGAATAGTGAACAAGGAAATGACCAACAAAACCCCACTGTCAGTGGCAATTCCATTACTTCCTTCTGTTCCCTGAATTCAAAGATTATTCAAATGGCCATTTCACATGAACACCCAAAAGCATTAGACAGAGAAAATTAACAAACCTGTCTGAGTAGACGCCTGAAGTTTCTGCCCATTACAAAATGCTCCATGACCTTTTCTGCCAGTATATAACTTCTCTTCAACACAGCTATAAATTACGCCAAGTTCAAGCTATTGGGGGGAAAGAAAACAAATGGAGGAAAACAATGTCATCAGCAACCTGGCATGCTACAACAATGTATTTATATAGCACCTTTCACATTAAAAAGGTGCTTCACAGAGGCGTTATGACACAACACATGACACTAAGCTACATAGGGAGGTGTAAAGTAGATGACTACTACTGGTGTCAAAGAAGTAGCTATTGAGGAATATCTTAGAGGAGGAAAGTGTGGTCGAGAGGTGAAGGGAGGGAATTCCAAAGGTTATCATCTAGCATCTGAAGTGACACCCACCAATTCGGGAGCAATGAAAACTGGGGATGCACAGGGGGCCAGGATTGGATGAGTACAGACATCTCAGGGGGTTGCGATGTTGGAAGATTTGAGAGATAGGAAAGGGCAAGATGATGGAGAGGGATTCGAAAATAAGGATGAGAATTTGAAAAACCAAGATGTTGCTTGACTAGGGCCTAGTGTAAGTAACGAGCATAAGAATGACAGATCAACATGGGGAGGCGATGGCCTAGCGGTATTAATCGCTGGACTGTTAATCCAGAGACCCAGGTAATGTTCTGGGGACCCAGATTCAAATCCTGCCACTGCAAATGGTGGAATTTTTCAACTAAGAGTCTAATGATTAAATGATTGTCAGTTGTTTAAAAAACCCATCTGGTTCACTAATGCCCTTTAGGGAAGGAAACTACCATCCTTACCTGGTCTGGCCTACATGTGACTCTAGACCCACAACAATGTGGTTGACTCATAACTGCCCTTTGGGCAATTAGGGATAGGCAATAAATGCTGCCTGGTCAGCGACACCCTCATCCCATGAATGAATAATTTAAAAAATAATTCCAGATTAGGACACAGGCAGAGTTTTGGATGGCCTCAGGTTCACAGAGGTTAGAATACAAGTGACCAGCAAGGAAGGCATTAGAATAGTCTCGCCTCAATGTTACAAAGGCCCACAGGTAGGCTTCAGCAGCAGGCGAGTCGACACAAGAGCAAGTGCTGAGCACGATTACAGAGGCGGACAAAGGCTTTCCTAACGGCAGCATGAACATGCACCCAGAAGATCAGTTTGAGATGAAGAATCACACACCAAGGGTTACAAACCATCTGGTTACACTTCAGATGGTGTCAGGAAGTGGAATAGTGTCAGTGGCCAGGGAGAGATGTTTGTAATAGGTTTTAGTTTTCCTAACAATTAATTGGAGGAAACTTCTGCCCATTCATTACCAACAGTGGGACCAGCAAACTAGGTATTGAGTGGAGTCATCAACAGAGAGGGCAAGTCTAAAGGTGGACGTCAACAGGGAACGTGAAATTGGCCTCTGGGAAGGGAAAGGAGGGAGAAAAGGGTAACAGGAAGGAGGGGAAGAGAAGCAAGAACAGGAAGGAAGATAGACTTGTATTTATATAGTGCCTCACATGACCAGGAGTCTCAAAGCATTTAATAGACAGTGAACTTTTTTTTATAGAAAGCAAGTCCCACAGCATAGGAGACGCAGCAGCTAGCTGGTGCATAGTAAAATCCCATAAACAATGTGATAATGATCAAATAAATTGTTCTTTTACGCTGTTATCGGAGGGATACATCTTGACCAGGTCACCAGGCTAACTGCCTTGGTTTTTTTTTTAAAAAAGAAAGGAGTGTTAGGGAATCCTTTACAATCTCTGGAGCAGGCGGATAGAGTCGATCTCTGACAGTCAGTGTAGTATTAAAGGGAGCACACAGAGTGTCAGTTTTGATTAAGCCCTGAGGTAGGACTTGAACTTTGTGGCTCAGAGGCCAATGTTAGATGATGGAGGAACCAGTGGAGAGGGGGTTAAGAAAGCAATGTGCCGGGCAGTAAAGCAGCTGAAATTAATGTTGCATTCCACAATGATCTGGACTAGTGAGCAACTTTTACACATCTGCAGGTGAGTGTATTAGCATTGTGTCATTTTTAGGACAAAAAATATCTTCTGAAGTAATTGAAAATAGAGAAAATAGTTGCTAACACCAAATAAATCAAAATTTTAGAAAATAAGTGAATGATTTGGGCACAGGGGACAGTAATTGCTGGAAAAGGTCAGGAGGTCTAGCAGCGTCAGTGGAGAGAAATCAGAATTAACATTTCAGGTCCAGTGACTTGGGGCTGGGAACAGGTTGGTCTATATGCCGAAGATGGAGTGGGGGAGGAGGGAGGTATAAACGATAGATGGAGATGGAGCCCAGAGAGGGAGGGAAGAGCAGTTAAACAGAGAAAAGGAGTGGGTAAAGGTCAGCCTGGGAGAATGAATAGCTGCTAATAGGGACCATTAGTAGCTGACAATGGGTTGGTTGTGGTAGCAGCCCATGTGATGACACGGCCTGGTGTGTGGGAGTTGGGGTAAGGACATGGGGGAAAATGCTCAGGCCCTAACATTATCAAACTCAATAGAGTCGAGAAGGTTGTGGGGTTTCCGAGCAGAAAATAAACTGCTGTTCTTCCAAGACAACAAGGTGCAGGGCTGGATGAACACAGCAGGCCAAGCAGCATCAGAGGAGCAGAAAGGCTGACGTTTCAGGCCTCGACCCTTTATCTCTCTGTTCTTCCACCTTGTGCTGAGCTTTGCAGCAAGCCTGAGACAGAGATGTTGGCCAGAGAACACGATGGTGTGTTGAAGTGGCAGGCAACTGGAAGCTCAGATAACAAGGTGTAGAGCTGGATGAACACAGCAGGCCAAGCAGCATCAGAGGAGCAAGAAAGCTGACGTTTCGGGCCTAGGCCCTTCTTCAGAAAATGAAGTCTTTTTGGGTCTAGGCCCGAAACGTCAGCTTTCCTGCTCCTCTGATGCTGCTTGGCCTGCTGTGTTCATCCAGCTCTACACCTTGTTATCTCAGATTCTCCAGCATCTGCAGTTCCTACTATAACTGGAAGCTCAGGGTCATTTTTGTGAACAGAATATACGTGCTCAGCAAAGCGGTCACCCAATCCGCACTTTGTTTCCCCAAAGTGACTACATTGTGAGCAGCCAATACAGAAAACTCGATTGAATGAAATTCAGATAAATCACTGCTTCACCTGGAAGGATCTCTGGGGCCTTGCATAGTGGCAACGGAGGTGGTAAATAGACAGGCGTTGCACCTTCTGTGATCACATGGGAAGGTGCCGTGGGAATTTGGGGATGTGTTGGGAGCGACGGAAGAGTGGGACAGTGTGTTCTGGAGGGAATGGTCCCTGTGAAAGGCCGACAAGTGAGGGAGGGGGATTATGTATCGAGCTGAGGCATCCTGCAGGAGGTGGAGGAAATGGCAGCTAATAATCCTCTGGATGTGGATACTGGTGGCATGGTAGGTGAGGACAAGATGAATCCAATCGCTGTTGTGGGGGTAAACAAGGGTGGGGGGGTGGGGAGGTGGAGGGAGGACGAAAGCATGGGAGATGAGTCAGACCCAGCTGAGGGCCCTGTCAACAATGGAGCTGGGGAATCCTCAGTTAAATGAAGAAGGTGGACATTTCAGAGGCCCCCTTGTCAAAGTTGGCATCATTGGCACAGATGCGATGGAGTCGGAGAAACTGGGAGAATGGAATGGAGTTATAGGAAGCCTGGTGTGAGGATGTATAGTTAACTGTGGGATATTGATGGTCACTCTATCCCCAGAAATGGAAACAGAGATGTCAGGAAAGGGAAGGGAGGAATCAGATGGGCAGGGTGAAGGTAAGAGCGGGATAGAAATTGGAAGTGAAATGGATAAACTTTTCTAATTCTGGATGAGAGAGGGAAGCAGCACCAATGACATTCTCAATACACTAGAAAAAAAGAGTTGTGGGTGGGGGCCAGAATTGTATTGGATCAAGGAATATTGGACATACCCCACAAAAGAGACAGGCATAACTAGGGCCCATGCGAGTACCCATGGCTACCCCTTTGACTTGAAGAAAGTGAGAGGAGTTAAAACAGAAGTAGTTCAGAGTGAGGACAAGCTCAGCCAGGCAGAGGAGGCTAGAGGAGGGTTGGGTCGGTTCAGGCCTTTTTCCCAGAAAGAAGCGGGAAGCCCCGAGTCCATCCTGATAGGGAATGGACGTGTAAACAGACTGCACACCCATGGTAAAGAGGAAGTGGCTGGAGCCCCCAAACTGGAAATTCTGAAGCGTAAAGCATCAGAGGAATTGTAGATGTTAGTGGGAAAGAACTGGACAAAGGCAGAGAGAAAAAACAAACAAACAAACAAACAAAAAAAAACGATTTGAGGTAGCTATTATCCTAGCTACAATCAGTTCTGAAAAAGGTGACCAGACCCAAAATGTTAACTCTGCTTTCTATCCACAGATGATGCCAGATCGGTTGAGTGTTATCAGCAATTTTTGTTTTTGTTTCTGACTTCCAGAATCTGCAGTCCTTTGCTTATTTTGTTTAGAAACAAAATGCAGATATTTTATCTCAAATGCTAACCTCGCACTCTGAAGATGACTAACACATTGTGGACATGTGCATACTAGTGCGTAATTCTAAGTCCAACCTTTAAAACAGAGTCTTGACAAAGGAGAAAAAAAAAGGACTTAGATTTATATAATGCTTTTCACATCCTCAGGACATTCCAAAGCTGTTTACAGTCAGTCAGTCTTTAAAGGACTCTTTGGGACAAATAATCTCCTGTGCCACAATCACTATGTACGGTGTAGTCACATGACAATATGTAACAGTAGAAAACATGGCAACCAATTTACATATAGTTAATGTTCCGCAAACAGTAACATGGCATTGACCAGACAATCTGTTTTTAAGGTGCTGTTTGAAAGATTAAGAGAAGACCTCAGATTAACATCTCATTGAAAAACAGCCAAAATCTCCAAAAGGTGCACCAGTACTAGAGGGCCAACCTGAATTTGATGCCCACATTGCTGGAGTGTCACCTGAACCTTCATCTTCTGACTCCAAGGATAAAGTGCTACCCAGTGAACCTTGGCTGGTATTCAGACTGCCAAGCATCAATATTCCCTTTCCTGCTAAGGACGACACACACACATTTGCAGCTGTACTACAGAAAAATGGTGGCCATGCATATGCATTAGATTTTCTGTTTCTATGAGATGTTTTATGCACCCTTTTTCTTTACATAGTTTTACTTTCTTGTCCCATCTTTAAAACCCTTTGAAAGGTAACTCTACAATTCTGTGCTCTCAGTCAGTAAACTACACTTTTGCAGGGAGAAGGGCAAGTGAAAGACAAAATGCTAAGGCTATAGCCTTGATTTGCCAATCATGTCACCACGAATGTGACACTCCACTTGGATAAATCTATAATTCATTCTTAAAATCCATTTTCTACTCCTTCTCATACAGCCATGATTGGTTCTCCTTCATTCTTCAATTTCTATATTGTGCCATCTTCCACCATGCCTTGAAAATGAATTTCAGTCTGATCTATGAATCTCTTCCATTCACATTTAACATTTCAGATCAACACACAACCATTTCTCCCCCCCTCAGAATACTTGTGTTAACAACAACTATCTCAATACAGGTCTACGATAAAAAGTGTTGATCTTTACATTTGGTGTAAGGAGGAGGTAATGTAATGGTTATACCACTGGGCTAGTAATCCAAAACCCCAGGCTAAAGGTTGGGTTAAATCCCACTGGGGCAAATGTTGCAATTTGAATTCAAAAATCAAGAAAACAAACTCTGGTCTGAAAAGCTAGTTTAATGGCTACCATGTAACCACAATGGATTGTCACAAAAACCCATCTGGTTCACTAATGTCCTTGAAGGAAGGAAATTTGCCATCTTACCTACATGTGACTCCAGGCCCACAGCAATGTGGTTGCCTCTGAACTCATGAATGGACAATAAATTCTGGCCTAGACGTCGACATCCATATCCCATGAATGAATAAAAATTCTAATTCTTTAGCTCTAACTGATACAGCTCCAACTCTTAACTTCAAGCTTAGCCAAAATCTCAGTCCAATTCCCCAAATATTCCATATTTGATAATCTACGCCAGCTTCATTAACAGTTTCCTGCGGTGAGGTTGGTAGGCTATCCAGTAAAAACACAAGATGAATGGCCAACAGGTTTCCAATCAGATTTGTCTGCAATGGCCCAAGTGGCCCTGTTCTCACAAATGGAGATTGCTAGCCTGCCCCAGATAACCAAAGAGTTAATTTTTTGAGGAAGTGGAGGAAATTGGGGAGGGGAAGGAAACAGATGAAATTGTGATGCAATTCGAGGAGAAGTTGAGGGTCAAAGTGGAAGGCCGGTTTAATCACACAATTTTTTCTTTTTACCTCTTTTTTGACAGAAAGTCCAATAGAAACTGCCACCACCGGTGTTCTAAAAAAGAGAAGTCAGTGTCACAATTCTGTTTGATTTAATAACGTCACTTTACAAAGTATGAGAGAGAGAGAGAGAGATACACAGTTGTTGGCCTAATGGGAAAATCTAACTGATATTCAGATGGATGATGGGAAAATGACCGTTTCCTTGCTGTGTGGTTAAACTACCACTAATAACGTTTGTTCACAAGAACATGCAACTTTCTGGCACCCAAACGAGTTTCATAGACGTTAGCTGCATAAGAATTTAATCCCCTCCCTTTCATACTGTACCAGCTGTGGCTCAGTTGGTAGCACTCTCACCAGTAAATTGCAGGTTCAAGTCCCACTCTAGCACAAATTCTACGCTGATACTCCAGTATAATACCTGTCTGAGGCTCAATCTCTGGTGAGGGTCTAGATGGAAACTAACTGTCCCTCTCATGTTAAAGATTCTATGGCACTTCTTCAAGGAGCAGCAGTTCTTTCTGGTATCCTGGATAATATTTATCCCTTAACTAGCACTGCTATCTATTTACTATTCTTGGGACTTCAGTGTGTACAAACTTGCTGACACATTTCATACGTTACTATAGTGACTACAGTTCTAAAGTACTTTATTGGCGGCAAGTGTGGTTTGGAATGTCCTGAGGTCATGAGAAGGTGCTGTATAATTGCAAGCACTTTTTCTTTTTTAATGAGGTGTTATAATTACATCTTCATTGCCTCTGTGGAATCAGCTTCTTATATTTGACAATGACATTCTTCCTGGTTTTGTATAAAACTCCACAAACAGTAAAAGTGTGCAATAATGATTTATCCATTCCTGTTTTCTCATGGAGATTAGGTTAAAGGTGAAGACAGCACTAATGTATCTACACATCTTTAACAGCATAGGACAGATATTTCCTTCTTTAAAAGTCCTCACATCCAACACAGAACCTGAGCTCACACTGCCTTTCCAATTTGAGACACTAATGCTGCTAAGAAACTGGTATGGATATGCTGTATCCACAAAGATAGCAGTGGATTTAATTTGTGGATGCTCATTTTCAAATGCAAAAAGCACCCACCTAAAACATTGCCAACATTCGTTTTTAACACATTCAAAAGCAAATATTTCCTTCAGTTAATGAACAATAAGATGACTGAGTGGAATTATGATCAATATGTAATGTTATATTATTCCTGTACAATATTTAAGCATGGACACATAATGTAGTTTGGTGTGTAAGATGACTTTCTTTTTTAAATGAAGGACTGGAAGTAATCTTTTGAAGCTCAAATTATACCCGTGTACAAAGTTACAAGTTCCATCGATGGGGTCTATTATCCAAGTGGGGTCGTCAGTCAGAATGCATTTTTCACCAGCTGCAACTGATTCTTCACCAATAAATCTGCAACAAGAAGCTGGATTCAATTAAAAAATGGCAACAATGCATTGCATACGTCCATCCAACTATATTTCACATAATGACCAACTGTTTGTACTGGAGGTTTCTTAGGGTCAAATGGCTCAAAAAAATGGAGCAGTGCTTTGACTGGAAGGGATTCTTCCTTAGATTTTCCACCCTCTTTCAAAAGAGCCACCAAAACTGAGAATTCAAGTCATTACAAGTTTAAATTATTTTGTTACATAACTACTGTCATTTAGTGTTATAAATATTAATCCAACTAACTAACTTTACTGTAGCAGGATAGGACAATTCAATATTGAGGTCAAAACATTATATTATCCTTTAAATAAGAACACAGCGTGAAAAAAATCCACATAAAAACAGACAGAGCCGTCAATCAGACTTGGTAAATACAGGACATTATTATTGAGCTCTAAAAAAAAAGTCATATTGGACTCAAAACATTAACATGGCTTCGTTCTTTACAGATACTGCCAGACTTGTGGAATTTCTCCAGATTGTGATTGTTTATGAACAATCCAGTTGCTTTGATGTTTTTAAACAAGGCTACACCTCAGAATTAATCCTAAAGTAATTAATTAAGAAAAGCAAAATACTGTGGATGCTGGAAATCAGAAACAAGCATGAACACAAACAAATGCTGGAGAAACTCAGCAGGTCTGGCAGCATCTGTGGGGAGAGAAACAGAGTTAATGTTTCAAGTCCAATATGACTCATCAAGATTTCAGTATTGAATTGAAAGCCTGTAGTGCCTTGCAACCATCGAATGCTAGGGTGATTCATTTATACTGAGGATAAAATAAATAATAGATTGCAAGGAAAGCAAACACATTGGGGTTGTGGTCATGCTGTTAGTGTAACTCCAATACAAATAGCACAGGATTCATTGGCAACAAATAACTCCCATTCTTTATTCCAAATCTTTCCTTGTCCAAGCTCCATACCCTTACAGCTAAGTTTTAAATATTTTCAAATGCAGCATTCACACTTTCCAAACACAATGACGTCGAGTTTCTGAGATAGTAGGAACTGCAGATGCTGGAGAATCCGAGATAACAAGGTGTAGAGCTGGATGTGCTCCTCTGATGCTGCTTGGCCTGCTGTGTTCATCCAGCTCTACACCTTGTTGTCTCTGACGTCGAGTTTCTGCAGGTTTGTCCCAATAATTTCATTGTAATATGGGAGGAATTTTCTGAACTGGTGCAAAATATTTGGGCATTTTTAATGCAAATGAGTTACACCCATATCTGCTTACGTTTGTATCTTCCCACTTACCCCGGGTGATTTGTGACTTAATTTGCTGCCTACAAAATTGGTTCCTCCTCCCTTTCACCCCCACACCCTCCCATATTGATGGGAGAGTGGAGTCACACATAGGTCAGTGTGGGCAAAAATAATAACTATCCGAAAGGACATTAGTGATCCAGATGATCTTCCATGACAATATTAATATACAAAATAGGAGCAGAAGTATATCATTCAGCCCCTCAAGCCTGCAGTGCTATTCAATAAGATTAAGGCTGAGCTGTTTGCGTTTCAAATTCCATATTTTCATCTACCCAATAACCTTAGATTCTTGTTAGGCTAAGGAATCAATCTACTCGTGATTTACAAATATTTAACAACCCCCACATCAAGTGCTTTCTGTGTCCAAAGTCACACAACTCTAAGAGATTAAAAAAAGTAAACTCTGCCCTGAAAGGGCAACTCCTAAAGTAAAAACAGTGGCCCCTAGTTCTAGATTCCCTCACAAGAGCAAACTTCTTTTCCACATCCATTTTGTTAAGACTATTCAGGGTCTCAATCTTCAACTAAGTCATGTCACTCTCTTCTAAACTCCAGTGCAAACAAGCTCAGCCTGCCCTATGTGTCCCGAAAAAAAAAACCCATTCATTCTTGATATTAATCTTGTAAATCTCGCTGAACTACCTCCAATGCATTTATATCTTTCATTAGCTGCGCACAGTATTCAAGATGTGAACTCACCAATTCCCTGTATAACTGATGAATAACATCCAGACTCAATATGATCACAGCTCATCTGATATTCCTCAACTCTACTTCCTGTATTTTCGCTATAACCCTTAATTCCGTTACTGTTTAAAGATCTATCTTTCTCAGCCTTGAATATACTAAATGACCCAGCCTCAACAACTTCCTGTGGTAAACTGTTGGCCTTCTTGATTATGTGCTGTATTGGTGTCCTGACTTTGTGATCATGCATCTAGATTCCACATGTATCTCAAAATTCCAGAGTTGTTCTCAATTTAAGTAATACTCTATCATTCTTCCTGTCAAAGTGAACTATTTGACATTTTTCCTCAGTATATTTAATCTGCCAGATTTCTGACCACCCACTCAACTGGTTTACATCTTCAGCAACTTCCTGGTGTCTTTTACACAACATGCTTTTCCACCCAACTTAATTTTGTCTGTAGCTGCCATACCTTCACTCCCCTCGTCCAAGTCACTGATGCGAATTGTCATCAGTTGAGGTACGAGCTTAAACTCCTAAACTTCTAATTAATTCACAGGATGTGGGCATTGCTGGCTAGGCCAACATTTGTTGCCCACCGCTAACTATCCAAAGGGCAGTTAAGAATCAACCACATTGCCAAGAGTCTGGAGTCACATGTAGGCCAGGCCAGGTAAAGATGGCAGATTTCCTTTCCTAAAGGACATCAGTGAACCTACGGGAACTTCCCTCATCACATCCTACCAATTAGACAAAAAGACCTGGTTATGCACTCTGTTTGCTGCTAGCCAGCCAAGCTTCTATATAAATATGTTATCGTCTATAATCATAAGCTTCTATGTTCCACAACAACCTTGATGAGCATCTGACCAAATACCTCTGGAAATCTAACCACAGCATGTCTCTCCTTTGCCTTTATCCAAAACAGAGACCTCCCTCCCTTTACGCTCTTGTTTATGATGCATTCAATCTCTTCCTTAGGCTTGTTCAACTTGATAGCACAATGCCTATTTCTCTTGAGGCATAAATCTACAAATTATTGCAACAGTGCCTCTGCCAAGAAATCTAGCACAGCTCCCTTTTGATGTTAGGTCAGGACATGCCTCTGAATTTACACTGAAGCAACACACTTTTCAAGGTCCAACCTACCTGTGTAAATATATTATGTAAATAGCGAATATAATGAGGTAGGTTATACTGTTTGTTCAATGAGTACCGAACTCCACAAACCTTCTCAAATATCTTTTATGGCTGCAAATATATTGGTTTGAATGTGACGTGCAAGGATACTGCCTCACCACATAGGTCATGGATGTAGCAGTGCAGCTGTAAGCTGGTTTGACAAGGGTGGGAAAGTAGTTTTTCTCCCTAGTTAAGAAGATCACAAGGCCACTGCAATATTCAGCTACAGAGTCCCAGCATCACAGCTGAAAACCTTTGTGCATGGAATGGAGGTGGGCTGAAAAACATGATTCTAATCACAGGAAAGGAACAAAAATCTCTCTCTTTTTCAAACTAATGTTCAGAAATGCTCCTGACACTGCAGGAAGTTTCATTACAAAAAAAAAATTCCTCACGTTGCCAAAAATTTACTAGTATGAAGGCAGCAATGTAAAATGGTGTTAACACAAACAAATACCTTATTGCAGCGCAGAGATACTAAAAATATTCACGTTAAAGATACCGGAGCAGAGAGGAGCAGAGAGGCTGACGTTTCGGGCCTAGACCCTTCATCAGAAAAGGGGGAGGGGAAGGGGGTTCCGAAATAAATAGGGAGAGAGTGGGAGGCGGATAGAAGAGGGATAGAGAGGAGAGGTGGAGAGGAAACAAACAGGTCGAAGAGGCGGGGATGGAGCCAGTAAAGGTGAGTGTAGGTAGGGAGTTAGGAAGGGGATAGGTCAGTCCAGGGAGGACGGACAGGTCAAGGGGGCGGGATGAGGTTGGTCGGTAGGAGATGGAGGTGCGGCTTGAGGTGGGAGGAGGGGATAGGTGGGAGGAAGAACAGGTTAGGGAGGTAGGGACAAGCTGGACTGGTTTTGGGATGCGGTAGGGGGAGGGGAGATTTTGAAACTTGTGAAATCCACATTGATACCATTGGGCTGCAGGGTTCCCAAGCGGAATACGAGTTGCTGTTCCTGCAACCTTCGGGTGGCATCGTTGTGGCACTGCAGGAGGCCCAGGATGGACATGTCGTCTGAGGAATGGGAGGGGGAGTTGAAATGGTTCGCGACTGGGAGGTGCAGTTGTTACACTCACCTTTACTGGCTCCATCCCCGCCTTTTCAACCCGTTTGTTTCCTCTCCACCTATCCTCTCCTCTATCCGCCTCCCACTCTCTCCCTATTTATTTCGGAACCCCCTTCCCCTCCCCCTTTTCTGATGAAGGGTCTAGGCCCGAAACGTCAGCCTCTCTGCTCCTATGATGCTGCTTGGCCTGCTGTGTTCATCCAGCCCTGCACCTTGTTGTCTCGGATTCTCCAGCATCTGCAGTTCCTACTATCTCTGGAGCAGAGAGGAAGCTGGTTACTCAATGAAACCGCTTTGGTCAAGAGTTGTAAATTGTTAAGTCACAGTAGCGTATGTGCAACATCAAACTGAAAGCTCATGTCCTTCCAAGAAAGAAAAAAAAACTTCTTGGAACTTAGAGAAACACAGTAATCCATTAATTATACTTTTTTGTCTAAATGTTCATTTAATCTCAAAAATCATGTCAGCTCTGGTCAACCATTGACCAAACTGCACAACGGCCAACAAATATAGTCCATACACTAACAAAATGTCTTCATTCTTATACTTATTAAATGTAAACATTTTCATGCACAGGTAGGAGAGCAGGGAATTGTAACTGTCAGATACAGACACAGGAATGGACTTCCCAATTCGATCATTACTAATCTGTGTCTCAACTTCATTTTCTTGCTGTTGACCCCTGTTCCATGAGACAAATAATCCAAAGATCAAGAGTTCAAATCCCACCAATGCTAGCTCGGAAAAATTAACCCAATCTATCTGTTAGCTGTAGGCCAGAAACAGAACAGTTGACATGGTCTCTAAAAAGGCTTTTGACAAGGCTCTACGTGGCAGACTAGTCAGGAACGTAATGATCCATGGGACTGAAGGAAAAGTTACGTCTGAAACAACTCACAGCCAGGAACCAAATTGTTATGAACAAAGTAGGAGCAAATGGTTTTGAACTATGGGTCATTTTGCAACTGAGAAAAGCTATTTCCAGTGAGGTTACATAAGGCTCAATTTACACAATGATTTAGAATTAAATGTAGGAGGCATGATCAAGAAGTTCGCAGATGATACAATAGTCATGTGATTAATAGTGAGGAAGTAAACTATAGACTGCAGAAATGGACTGGTCAGATCAGTAAGAAAATAACAATTGGAATTCAATCCAGAGAAGGGTGAAGTTGGATATTTGGGAATAGAAAACAAGGCAAAGAAATACTCAATGAATATTAGGGTACAGAAAAGTATGGGGGAGCACAGAAACTCGACAGATTCCTTGATAGGAGGTAACAGGTCAAGAAAATAAACTGAGTTTAAAAATATGCAGGATAATTTCCTTTCTTAATAGAGGAATAGAACATTGTATAACATTACATTTCTGAAAGAGTTGATGATAAAGTTGATGATGTAACAGACTTTGGTTGGAGAATTGGGCCATTTTGCACTTAGACACAGACAGGTAATTTTTGACTCCTCATAGTTGTAGTTATGCCTAACATTAATTGTAATGACTGCAAATGTAAGAGACAGCATCGTTTTCACTTATGAGACGATACTGTAAATTGAAGTGGAACTTGGACTTCTATAAACAGGAATATGGGAACGTTTTGCAACTTGAAAGATATTGTTGAGCTGTGTAAGGAAATGTCTTTTTGAAAGAGGTATGGGATAATGAGACTGAACAGCACCAGGAGTCTTTGAGTTATGGAGATCCTTCCTGACAATAGCCATCTGATTGGTTGAATTGCGGAGTGTTAAAAAGTTGTAAGTGTCAAGAGCAGCACAGTCGGAAAAAATATCAGTCAGAGGCCACAGACTGAAAGGGTCTATCTCTTCCTTTCTTTATGTGGGAAAAGACTGCAAATCCAAGAAAATGTAGAAGAAAGAATTTCATACAAGACCCAAGTTAACCTGCTCAACCACTGAATTGAAGGATGACCATCACCCTACAGACAATAGCACATCATCATGGCAAAAATCAGAATGAAACTTTCTACTTTGTTGATCTTTGGTATACTGTGTATATTCTTTGCCACCCATAGTTTATGGTTAAAACATTTATCTTTTGTCTGTGTTAATCATGATTAAGGGATGTTAGTGCAGTTTTGAAGGGGTAAACTTTAAGCTGCATAAATTAGAAAACCTTTTGTTTTGCTGTTCTTGTCAAAGCGAAGCATGTTACAGTAAGGAAAGTTCTTTCTGTATTACCAAAAAAAAAAAACTTAAAAATAAAAACCAAAAGAACTGCGGATGCTGTAAATCAGGAACAAAAACAGACGTTGCTGGAAAAGCTCAGCAGGTCTGGCAGCATCTGTGAAGTAAAAAACAGAGTTAACGTTCCTCATTCGGAGGGTCACCAGACCCGAAACGTCAACCAAAAAAGCCTGATGTGAATTACTTTTATCCTGAGTAGCAGTCAGGCAAATTACACATTTTGGTGATTACATTGGGATTTTGTACATTTACATATTATGTGACGGCTTGTGGAACACTGGGGCACTCTTGTGCACTCTTTCCAGTGAAATTGTGACACTGTCATGCAATAAATTACACCATATTATGCAAGACAAGTGCCTCTTCTTGTTAAGACTCTCTGGTAGTTTATCCTCTATCACTGACAATTAGAAAGGAGGATTGGTAGCAGCAAACTACCCTACCCACAAGCCACCAGTGGTTGGTACCCACAGCCCAATATGATATGGTAATCAGCGGAAAACAACATTGCAGAAGTACCTTAAGATCACAACGGTGAGTGATTCCATTCTACCTGGGAAACAACATTCTGAAGGTGATTAAATTTACCCTTGAACATGACACAGACAATTAGCAGCTAAAACCTGTAAACCAACTTGCAGTCAGCAGCACTCCAGATAAAACCTTTACCTGAGAGGTAACACAAGACTGAGAAGAAAAACAATGTGGGCAAGGAAGGAAGAAAGTAAAAGCTAGCCACACTGGGAAGAGGCAGACTCCTTAAAGAGAAAGGATCTATGGGAGTAAAATTAAAGGGCAAGGAAAAGCTTCACAGTAAAGGAACAAAAGACTATGCTGGGAAGGAAAGAAGTGGAAGGGAGCATTCGCCCTTCAAAATAATTATCACTGCCATTTAAGCAAGCTCCAAGCATGTCAACAGTATGCAGAGAAATGGCCAGGAAATTAATTTATACCAACAGTACATTATCAGGAAAGTAGCACATTTTAAAATGACAATTTAAAATAGCTGAAGAAAGAGTTTAAACCGAAGAAAGTACTAAGAATTGAAAGGCTTTTAGAAGACTGGGACACAATTTAAACTGGGATTTCAGTGGGAAAATCTACTAAGGCTCAGCCATAGAAATTTGTTGAAAAAATATTTTGCAACAGGAAGCACAGTGTGCTTTGGGCCAGGTAAAGTGAGAAAAAAAAATCCATTTTGCCCATGACAAATGTGGGAAACCTCAACCTTGGCTGGAGAAGGTGGGAACTCACTTGAGAAGGTGGGGAATCACCATTTTAATTGTCAAGGCTGGAAAATGCCAGTAAGCAGTACAAAGATACAGCCTTATCATTTAACACAGGTTAAAGCTGGAATGAAGTAACAACAGTTTTTATAGTGAATTTAATTAAATTTAATGCTGCATTGGAAAAATTTCACACAGTATTGTCAAAATGCAGATTTTAAAAATTTGCAGACAATGGAAAAAACATGAGGGTTTAAAAGTCTGAAGAAGCTTCAAGGCAACACAGCTATACTAGCATTGATTTAACACCAGAATACAAGATTGAATACTGTAGATTAAAAATAGTATTAGAATGCTGTACATTTAATACAGCTTTAAAAGGAATAAACAAACACATTAATAAGAAACGGAAGGATTCTAAACCAATTGAAGAGTAAAGATTGCTTAATTAAAACAGAAATAAGCCATAAATGACTCCTTGGAACCCCAGGCCCACGTCCATAACTTCAGGACACAGTCAAAAGAAAGAAACTGGTCTTAAATCCGGGACACCACAAAACAAAAAAAAACTATTCAAACCAAAAAGCAATTGGTCAAGAAGACTAGGATACTACAAGGAAGAAAGCATGTGTTTTAACTGTGCTGTTGTCCTCAATGATGGATATTCATGAGATTAAAGCACCCCATGTCATACCTAAATTAGCAGAGAAGAACTTACCTGCGAAGGAAATTAAGAGAGTAAGGGACCTCCATATAAAAAATAATATGCCAACTATTGGGTTTAGCAGGAATGACATCCTCCACAAAAGGCGTTAAGATAAGGGGTAGTAAATTTAAAACAGAATTGAGGAAAAGCTACATCACCCAAAGGGTTGTGAATCTGTAGAATTCACTACTCCAAAGTGCGGTAAATCCTGGGACAGTGAGTAAATTTAAGGAGGAGTTAAACAGATTTTTAAATGGTAATGGGTTGAAGCGTTATGGGGAGAAGGCAGGAAAATGGGGATGAGGAGCATGGCAGCCATGATCAAATGACAGAGCAGAATTCAATGGGCCGAATGGCCTAATTCAGCCACCATATCTTATGAATTTATGAAATCTGAGAGATAAAAGACTCCACCAGAGGACAAATGATTTACAGAATTTGAAAATCAAGGTCCACAGTCCTTAAGTCAGAGACTTCCCAATCTTCCAAGTCAGAAGGGAATGTGCTCTGGAAGAATAGATAGCCCTCCACTGGGATCCTCACCGCCCAGTGGCAAGTAGGCATGCCAGGGCGTGTCTGGGTGGCAGATGTAAGAGTCGAGGTGGATGGTGCAATGGGGGATGATGCTCAGGCAGAATTTCACTCACAGAAAGGCCAGATATCCTGCATTTGTGAAGAGGAGATTTGTGGGCAGTCGGGGCAGGGGGATAATAGTAAACATAAAATGTACTGCATAAACATTAACATTAAACAGCTTGGGGACAGATGTTGTATAAGGTTATAGTTCTGAAAGTGTCAACATTGAAGTTTCATTAGCTTCTCCCAGCCTGATGATATAACAGTCTTTGGTAGAGAATCATGCAAGTCTTGGTCTAGGTCCTAATGGAGACTGACATGCCATCTACAGTTCCTGATAGTTGCAATTATGCATGAAAGGTTCATGATAATTGCACCTATTCCGATCACCTTGTTGTGGAAGGTGGTATCTCTTCTTGTTAAGACTGTCTAGTGATTGATTCCTTGTCATTGAGAATTAGACAGGCCCTTAACTCAGCAGATTAACAGGTCCATGCAGCAATCTGTGGAGTGGGTCATTGTGCCCGATTGCCTCTGTTGAGAGGGAGCATGTGTGTCCACGGGCACCCATAGTGGCTTTTAAAGAGCAGTGGGTACTGCAGGGGATGGAGCGCATCATCAGCCCAGACAAACATATACTGATTTAGTAAGTTTCCATTCATCAAAAGGAGACTAGTGCAGCGAATGACCCCAAGTATAAGCCACTCATACAGGGAGCCCGGTAGGACATAGAATGTTACCAACAGTGAGGTTTTGGGAGAACTATACAACATACCAGTTAGGCTGCAGCTGGAGTATAGCACATAGCTCCAGTCACCACATTGCAGGGAGCATGTCGGTTTAGACTGGCTCTTTAGGCTAATACATTCCAGATTTTCCAGCATGAAGGCTCCCAGACTGCTGGAAAAAGAGAGACTAGTTCACTATGAATTGATTCATCAATCATAGAATTATAGAATTCTAACAAGGTCTTACTTTGGACGATCATACTTTACTCAGTGATGTTTAGTGCAAAGTTTTACATATTTGTTGTTGGGATGTTGGTGGCACCTGCACAGTTAACTGAGTTTTACAACTGATGGGCTATAAACTAGAAAACCAAGATGCTGAGATTCAATTCGTTGGTGTCATTTTTTTTTTTGAGTATGTGACAACTTTTTGGCATTTTCACGTTTGCAACTTTAAGTAGTGGTGCACCACAGGAATCAGCGTTGGGATTAAACTACTTGCAATCTATATCTATGGCTAGGATAAAGGGAACAAATCAATTGCCGCTAAATTTGCTGATGATATAAAAGATAGGTAGGAGAGTAATTTCTGAAGAGGACAGAAAAGGAGTCACTCCTTCAGAATCTGCAGCGATACCTTTATGTGGGAGCTCCTGCTAGGTGGTGTGCCCTGGCGATGTATTTTTTTTCCTCCAGGCTCACGACCATAATTATGACACTTTGGTCCTGTTTACTGACCGTGAGGGTCTGCAAGTCACCCTCGGTACACTGCCTGTCTTTTACCAGGTCCTGATCAGTGTGTGGAACATGGTGGACTCACACTGGGCCTTTCTGGCATCAGGAGTAGCGGCTATAGTCAGTGAGCCATTGCTCAGGAAGCCTCACCTCCACAATCACGAGTTTGAGTGGCTGGCAGAGGAGAGGGCCATGGCAGTGGAGCTGACCAGAGTTGGGGGATATGCTCCCTGAGGCAGGCCTGACTACAGGAATTGGCCAGCAAGGCAGCGGTAAACTTCCAGCTCGCGGCCGATGTCACCGGAGAAAGGTGGTGCTCCGGCCCGACGTCGTACACCAGTTGAAGGATGCTCAGGCGCGTGGTGGGATCCCATCTGCACGTACCCCTGCTTGGGCGGAATTTCACTTTGGCCCCAAGGTCCCGACCCTCTTCAGGGGCCTGCACCCCTCAACCTGAGCCACCTCCTGAATAGGTGTTGCGTGTCTTTTCACTTCGCAAAGAGGCGGTTGTTGTACAGTTGCACCATTCACCTCGACTCTTACATCTGCCGCCCAGACACGCCCTGGCATGCCTACTTACCACTGGGCGGTGAGGATCCCAGTGGAGGGCTATCTACATGGGAGACCTCCTCTTTCCATCAGGGACCTGGGGTAGAGGATGTTGCACGTAGCAGTTGGTTATAGCCACAAATTGTGGCAGTTCATGGACTCGCAGCCCAACTGTTTATTTTGTGGCGCTGTGGAGTCTTTGGACCAAGTATATACTGGATGTGGGCATTTACACTCCCTTTTTAGTTATTTGAAGAACATTTTGTTGTGTTTTTTGGGTGCGCTTCAGCCCCATCTTCCTGATCTCTGGGCACTCAGTGTTGGAGGGGTGTGGGCAGAATGGAGGATCTCCTCATGGGTTTGCTCCTGGGCCTGGCCAGGCTGGCTATAAACAGGTCCTCAGGCAGTGGGCCATGGAGGGGGTCATTTCTGTCAACTGCCTGACCCACTTCCAGAGTTATGTTTGAGCCCAGGTGTCCTTGGAGAGGGAGCATGTGGTGTCCACCACTAACTCTATTTCACCACTATTACAGATGTGGGCACCGGGAGGGATTATCTTCCCTATCTTCCCCATCCCACCCTAACTCCATTTTGATTTAGATCCCTCCCTCACTTTTTCTCTGTTTTTTGATGTCAGCAATGCCCCTAGGCTTTGCTTGTTAATGCATATTTGGGCACATGGGTATTTTCCTGGGGTGGAAAATAACATAATAAAGCCTATTCACCAAGGTGTCTTTTCTCGTCTCATTTATATACAATATATGTGTGTTTTTTAATATATTAAAAAAAAACCATGGGTGATCTGAGGAAAACAGAAAATAAAGGGCCCTATTAAAAAAAAAGAAACCTCAAATAAAATATAAAAACGAGTCTACAAATGGATATAAATTGCAGAAGAAGTAGTTCAGAGAAGGTTCATTTGAATGATTCCTGGGATGAATTGGTTATCGTATGAACAAAAGTTAGGCAGGTCGTGCCCGTATCCAGAAGGGAGCCTGAGAACACAAGTGCTGAAAAGCTGCTTCTCCTTACGGGAGAGACTCGAACTAGGGAACATAGTTTCAAAATAAGTGATCTCCCATTTAAAATGGAGAGAAGGAGAATTTTCTCTTTCAAAGCACAAGTCTGCAGTATTCTCTCTCTCCTCCTCCTCCTCCTCCTCACGTCCTCACCTCCACCCACCCCCCCCCCACCCCCAAGGTTACAAAAGAACAAAGAAAATTACAGCACAGGGCACCAACATGCTGCCCGTCATAACTAAAACCCCCTACCCTTCCGGGAACCTATCCCTCTATTCCCATCCTATTCATGTATTTGTCAAGATGCCCTTTAAAAGTCACTACAGTATCTGTTTCCACTACCTTCCCCGGCAGCAAGTTCCAGGCACCCACCACCCTTGGTGTAAAAACGTACTTGATTAACTGTGGATTTCAATGATATAGGGAGAAGGCAGGCAAATAAGGCTCAGGTTATAGTCAGATCACCCATCATCTGATTAAATGGTGGACCAGGCCTTCAGGGTGAGTGATGTACTCTTGCCCCTAACTCTAATATTTGCTCATAATGTTCATATCAAAACTATTCACCACCAATTTGGAATTGGTCACTTCAATATTCATTTGTTGAACTCAAAATTAAGCAATACCAAGTAAGCAAAAGACACTGAATTTTTGCACTGATTCATTTTTAAAAATGATATGCATTACAATAATGATCTCTCTCTCTCTGCCATTCTCCCCTTAGATTGATTGCTGAGATGACAGGTTCTTTTCTATGAGGAGATTGAGTAGAATGTACTTACTATCTCCGAGTTTAGAAGAATGAGACACAATTATCCGGAAACAAAGCTTCTGAAAGGACTGGATAGGGTAGATACTGTGAGGTGATCTCCCCCTGGCTGCAGGGCCAAAAAAATAGGGAGAACAGACTTGGGACAAGGACAGGCTATTTTAGGACTGAGAGGAGGACAATTGTTTTCACTCACAGGAACAGTTATAGGCCATTCAGCCCCTCAAGCTTGTTCCACTATTCAATGATATAGTGGCTCCAGATATCTACCTTTGCTTAAATAAAAAAAAAAATCTTCAGAATTAAAAAAAAAACTTATCCAGCACCAATTGCTGTTTGTGGAAGAGAGTTGTAAACCTCTACCACCCTTTGTGTGTAAAAGTGCTTCCTAACATCTCTCTTGAATGGTTTGCCCTAATTCTCAGGCTATGTTCCTTTGTTGTAGAATCTCTAACCATCAGAAGTCATTTATTTTTATCTACCCTGTCGTCATTTCCTGTTAATATCTTGAAGACTGCAATTAGATCACCCCTTAACCTTCTAAATACTAGAGAAACAGATTTGTTCCCTAATTTGTACAATCACTCCCCATAACTTAACCCCTGAAGTCCAGGTATCATTCTTGTGATAGAGAGTCGTAGATCTTTCAAATTGTCTATCTCAAGGTGCTGCGGGCACTCAGAATTTGAGTATCTTCAAATTTCTGATCAATAGCTTTTGTAAATTAAAGGGAATCAAAGGAGTGGGGTGGGCAAGTGTAGTTGAGGTGTATGATCAGCCATGAACTTATTGAAATGGTACAGCAGGTTGGAGGAACTTTAGGACCTACTCATTTCCTTGCAGCTGGCACTGGCTTGCAGAGGCAAAGCCGTCAAATCTGGGAATTGTTTCTTTATATAAAATAAATGTGCTTCTCCCCGTTACCTGAATTAAGCGAGCTGAGCAATTGAACATTTCTAGTCAGTGGCAGGAAGTGAATGTTGCACTTGCCAATTATATACAATGCAAAAAAAAAAAAAAACCCCTTAAACTGCAATTCCTTCCAATAACTTGTTTTCACCCACGCTGCTCATTGGAGTCATAACCATTGAGAGAAAGCATAACATTTAGACTTGAGTAAATATCGCAGCAATTTACAAATACACCAAGCATTTATTTCGATGAGTAAAGATTGGTCTATTGGTCAGACCAAGCTTCATCTTCTTTGATAATACTACTGGATCTGCATCTAATGTGAGAGAAGGACAAAAACAGTTAAGTCATTTTTGGGACCTAAGCTGTAATTGAAAACTACATACCTGTGTGAAGGAAACTTGTTGCTTAGAGTCGAGATGATGAGATTTTCAACAAGCTGGTCTGTTTCTGTTACGAGATCTGCTGCTGATGACTTCGTCTGCACTCGCTTTTCAACTCTTAATGCTTCCCTAATTATCTTTGAACAAGATACAGTGTTTAAAGGACATTATAACAGTAATTTTCTTTTGCTGTTGGATTAAATTACATTTATTACTCTCCTCTCACACCTCAGGAAATTCTCATTTGGATATATATATGTATCTCTATTTTAAAACCAAGCAGACACGCAACATTAGGCTACCAGTATTTTCCTCGAGCAAGTTTGTTCATAATCCAAGCTTGACTGAAATACCCACTGTATTCAAATCAACATGTTCACTATGGAATACATGGCATTCTCTCCATTTGGAAAAATTCATTGTACAAAGAGAAAGAGTTATGAACTGGCAGATTTTCATGAAGAAACTGCATAAAGTCAGGGTCACTTTTTATTGGTGAAATAAGGCTAATGGCATTTGACCATAAGAAATAGGAACAGGAGTGGACCATTTGGCTCTGCAATTCAATAGAATGCTGGCTGATCTGACACTCTTCACATCTATTTTCCCATCCTTTCCCCATACAGTTGATTCACCTACTGATCAAGAATTGATGTATCTATTTATCTCAACCCTTGACACAGACTCTGCCCCCACAGCTCTGTGGCAAGCAGTTCCAAAGACTTAGTCCTTAGTGAAGAAATTCTTCCTCATCTCAATCTTAAATTGGCACGCCCTAATTTTGAGACTATGCCCTCCGGTGCTAGACTCTCCTATGAGGGAAAACATCCTCTCGGCATTTACTCTGTCAACCCCTTAAGAATCCTCTATATCTCAATAAGGTCACATCTCATTCTTCTACATTCCAAGGAGTAGAATCCCAACCTGTTTAACCTTTGCTCATAACACAATCCTTCCATATCCTATTGAACATGCTCTGAACTGTCTCCAAGGAAACAATATCTTTGTTTCATTTAAGGAGACCAAAACTGCTCAAAGCACTCCAGATGTGGTCTCACCAGCATCTTGTACACTGCAGTCAGTCTTCCCTACTCTTACAAGTCGAACCCCATTGAAATAAGGGCCAACATTCCATTAACCTTCCTAATTATCTGCTGCTCCCACGTGAAGGTAATAGACAAGATAGAAGCAGGGAGGTTGTTTCCACTGCCGGGTGAAACTAGGACTAGGGGGCATAGCCTCAAAATAAGGGGAAAGAAATTTAGGATTAAGTTGAGGAGGAACTTCTTCACCCAAAGGGTTGCGAATCTGTGGAATTCCCTGCCCAGTGAAGCAGTTGAAGCTACCTCATTGTATGTTTTTAAGGCAAAGGTAGATTTTTGAACAGTAAAGGAATTAAGGGTTACGATGAGCGGGTGGGGAAGTGGAGCTGAGTCCATGAAAAGCTCAGCCATGATCTTATTGAATGGCGGAGCAGGCTCGATGGGCCAGATGGTCTACTCCTGCTCCTGTTTATGGTCTTATGTCTGTTAGCTTTCTGTGTTTTGTGCGCAAGTCCCCCCAAGCCCCTTTGTGATGCAGCTTTCTGCAGTTTTTCCTCCATTTAAGTAACACTGTTCTCTTTTACAAAATGAACAAGCTTGCATTTTCCACCATTATAATCCATTTTTGCCCACTTATCAATATCTCTTTGTAAACTGTTTGTATCCCTCTCAGAACTTGTCTTTCCACCTATTTCTGCATCATCTGCAAATTTGATTACAATACCTTCACTTCCTTCCTCCAAGTCATTAATATATATTGTAAACAGTTGCTTGCTATTACTTATGGCTGAAGCTATAGTGGCTTTGGATGTGGGCAGATCCAATTCACCAAGTTTGCCTGAGATGCGCCTCTCATTTGTGTCACAAAAAAAAATCTCACTCTTTGAAGAAGTGATACTGGGCTCAAAATATTAACTCTGTTCTCTCACTGCACAGATGTTGCCAGAACTGCCAAGTTTCTGTAACTCTTTCTGTTTTCAACTCACTATCTGACTTGAGCTCGAGAGGCAATGAACAGCATAAGATTGCTGTATGTGTACAGTGGATAAACAACTGTCATCCCAAAGTTTAAGCCTCAGGCTAAAATGAACATCTACAATTTTAATGGTGTGACAACTTAACTATTACCAGTCAACTTCTCTGCACTGAATAAGCTACACGTGTGGAGTATCAGTCCATCAGGTTTTCACTGTTGTTGGGTTTCTTTAAATGTAACACTAAACTTTTAATTAAGAATTACCTTTTCTTTCTATCACTTTCCTCCTGTCTTAATAGAATTGTTTTTCCCTCCCTCTGACTCTCTTTCATCCTGATTTGATACTGAATACAACTACTCTAGTTTTCTGAGGAAGGGTCACTGGACCTGAAACGTTAACTTTGATTTCTCTCCACAGGTTGGGATTCTACTCCTTGGAATGTAGAAGAATGAGATGTGACCTTATTGAAATATATAGGATTCTTAAGGGTTCTTAAAGTTTTCTTAAAGCTTCAGACCTGCTGAGCTTTTCCAGCAATTTCTGTTTTTGTTTCTGATTTTCAGAATCTGCAGCCCTTTCATTTTTTTTTAATGCATTCATGGGACATGGGCATCACTGGCTGAGCCAGCATTCATCGCCCATCCCTAACTGCCCAGAGGGTTACATTTGGTTACAGTACATTCACTTCCTTCCTCCAAGTCATTAATACATATTGTAAACAGTTGCTTGCTGTTACTTAAGGCTGAAGCTATAGTGGCTTTGGTTGTGGGTAAGGAGTCACACATAGGCCACACAAAGGGTAGCAGTTTCCTAAAGAACCAGGTGGGTTTTCCAATTGACATTGGATTCATGGTCATCACTAGACTCTTAATTCTAGATTTTTATTGAATTCAAAATTCCACCATCTGCCGTGGCACGATTCGAACACAGGTACCCCGAACACCAGCTGAGTTTTCTGGATTAACAATCCTTCAAATCATACCACCGCCCCACTTTTATTTGTTGAAAAGAGCTGGCTGATGAGATGGCCACAATGTAACCTGGGGATCTGGGACCTGAGAGAACAGTTGGAAGCAGTAGTGCTCCTCCTTAACCAATTAAATGAGAAGATTGCTAAGTAAACCGCACAATATAACAGGAGGAAGCGGAAATGAGAAGAGGCAAATCCAATGTTAAATCAGGTCCAGAAAGAGTGTGTGTTTCACACGAGCCTTCTCCCTGGTCTTATTTCTACTGCACCCTCTCTATTCCTACTACACTATTCTTCCCTCCGCCATGTAAACATCCAGGGGCAAGGTACATGGGCTACTCCTTGTGAGAGCAGATTCACACTGTAGCCACTCCCATGAATTCTCCATAGAAGTTAAAGGTAACCAGTTTCTATTTCTAATAGTTAGGGGCATTTCCACACAAGTAAGCAGGGTCCGGTATAGCAAACCCCCATCATTAAAAAGAACACCCTTAACCTTTTGTAAAATGGCAAGGCTGACCCTACTAGCTGTGACCCCTCAGATATCCTTGTAATTTCCTCATCCACCCCCGGCTCCAATTCTCTTCAGGAAGAGTGAAAATCCCACCATGGGTAGTCGAATCTTCCTATAGACTTCAATAACCATACCATGCTAGTGTGATTTGAGCAGGAGGTTGAAATCTGGAACATGAACTATAGGGGGGCTGCAGTTTAATTTCAAGGTCTCTCTGACATTCAGTCTGACTCTGACTGGGGATTTCTCCGCACCTTTGAGATGACTGGTGGCGGAAGCAGCTTTCTCGGTTTTTGTTGCGGAGCTTAAAACCAAGAAGGCTGTACCTCCTTGACAACAAGGTGCAGGGCTGGATGAACACAGCAGGCCAAGCAGCATCATAGGAGCAGAAAGGCTGACGTTTCAGGCCTAGACCCTTCATGAGAAATGGGGGAGGGGAAGGGGGTTCTGAAATAAATAGGGAGAGAGTGGGAGGCGGATAGAAGATGGATAGAGGAGAGGATAGGTGGAGAGGAAACAGACAGGTCAAAGAGGCGGGGATGGAGCCAGTAAAGGTGAGTGTAGGTAGGTAGGTAGGGAGGTAGGGAGGGGATAGGTCAATCCAAGGAGGCGGGATGAGGTTAGTAGGTAGGAGATGGGGGTGCAGCTTGAGGTGGGAGGAGGGGATAGGTGGGAGGAGGGGATAGGTGGGAGGAAGAACAGGTTAGGGAGGCAGGGACGAGCTGGGCTGGTTTTGGGATGCGGTAGGGGGAGGGGAGATTTTGAAGCTTGTGAAATCCACATTGATACCATTGGGCTGCAGGGTTCCCAAGCGGAATACGAGTTGTACCTCCTTAACGTTTTTGAAGTGTTTGAATCGTCTGCCCACTCATTCCCAGGCTGGCTATGGATCTGACAATCCGTGCAGTCATGACTTGGAGGGGAAACATTAAGACTGGGCTCCCTCTTACTGCAACTGAATTGGAAATGTCATTGCTTATAATAACAATTACATTTTCTTTAATCAACTCCCCATCCCCCACTTCCTTGGCCTATCAGATGATTATACAGCACTAGACCCTGTTTTGCTGGGTTAAAAATCCAATACTCACTTCAATGGAACTATCAAACCCACTTTTGTTTTATAATCAGCAGCGGCCTCTCCGGACATAAAGTGCCATTATAAAGACATCTCATGCCTGGATCAGCTCCGGTTACATTCATTGAGTTACTCCCCCAGCCTCTGTCATTCACCTGGCCGGCTTCCAGAGCCACCTGTACGGCCGCTTCCAGATACTCTTCCAGCGGCTGCTGTCTGCTCCTCTCCCCCGAGCCGGCCATTGCCTTCCCCTTCGCTCGGGCAGCTTTCAGAACGGCTGACTCCTCTCTCTCTCTCTCTCTCTTTCCCTCCCTCTCACTATATATAGATATAACATGCACACTCTCTCTCTCTCCCTCTCTCCTTCTCTCTACTGCTCTCTAGTGTGAATCCCAGCTACAGCTTACTCACCACAATTAACAATTATTTGCCTATATCTCACACTCTAATCTCTCTGTCGCTCTCTAGTGAATGTACTAGCTGTAAGCCTGCTCACTCACTCAGATCCACCGCACAGAAAAAAGACCCACTAGCCCATTGAATCTGCATAGGTCAAAAACAGGCACCTATTTAAAGGAAGGGTCACCGCACCCGAAATGTTAACTCTTGATTTTTTTCTTCACAGATGCTGCCAGACCTGCTGAGCTTTTCAAGCAAATTCTGTTTTTGTTAGCCCCGATTTAAATCCCATTTTCCAGCACCTGGTCCATACATTTGCAAGGCATGCAAGACTATGTCCGAATATTTCTTAAATGTTATGACGGTTTCTGCCTTTACCAACCCTAACAGGCACTGAGTTAACCCTATCCCTATCGCCTTTACACTTTCTACTCCTTACACTCAGCCACAACTACCAATTCTCTGCCTATGCAGTATCTCACACACCAGTCTCTCTCTTTCTGCTGCTTTCTATTGTGAATCCCAAAAGCAATCTACTCAGCCACAATTAACAATTCTTTCTCAATTCCCTCCCTATATCTCACAAACCAGTCTCTCCGCCGATCTCTAGTCTATATCCCAGCGAGCAACTTTGGCTGTCCTGTTTGCTCCCTCTCAAATATTTCCAAACAGCACTCTTTATAATTTGCTTGCACATTCTAATTAACTTCAATTCTGAAAGATCAAAGTTGACTGAGCTCTTCAATTTATTGGTTTTTATGTTGCAAAACTCATTGAGGTGGTAGGTTTGTAAATAGATGCCAGTCACTAACATTCCATCCCTAATTAGTCACTGTAAATAAACTCACTTAAAGCAGAAAGATGAAGGGTACAGAGACATCAGTGTGGAGCTGGAGGAACACAGCTGGCCAGGTAGCACCAGAGGAGCAGGAAAGTTGATATTTCCAGTCAGGACACTTCTTCAGAAATGGGGAGGGGGAAGGGAGCTGGGAAATAAATAGAGAGAAGGGGTCCTCAATAACTTACTGCATAAATAAAAATTGTTCCATTCTAAGATTGAAAGTGGGAATGTTCACTGATAATTGCACAATGTTCAGCACCATTCATGACTTCTCAGAAAATGGAGCAGTCCAGGTTCAAATACAGCAAGACCTGGACAAAATCTAGGCTTGGGCTAGGAAACAGCAAGTATAACTTGGGTCACAAAATGCCAGGCAATGACAATTTTGACCTCTTGCACTGCCCTGATTTTAATTATCCATCACTGGGAGCCAAAATGTCAGCTGCCTAGGCCATAACATCAGCCTGAAACCTTTCTGTCTCTCCAACTCTGTCTCATCCTTTAAAATGCTTCTTAAAATGTTTTTTCTCTACAAGTTCTGGTCATTTCCTCCTGTATCTCCTGAGACATCTCTCATCGACAAACCTGGTCTGTTTACTCTCCTTTGAAGCATCTTGGGACAATTTACAATGTTTGTAAAATTTAACAATGTGATGTACAATGAGAATAACATATCAGACGATAAGACATATGAATTAATGAATGGTTTTATCGTCATGTGTGTTTACAGTGAAAGATACAGTTAATAGCTTCCACTGTTGCCATGATCCGGCGCCATTTTGAACAGTTTAGGAATATTAAAAACTTTAAAAGATATAACTTACAGACAGCCCATAACCCTTCCGCTACTGCTTTGCTGCTGCCAGCGCCATACCCAACCAACGTTGAAGTCACCGCTCCTCAGGTGCCACCTTTCTCCATTGCATCTGCCAGTGTAGCAGCCAATGGCTGGGTCCCGTGCTTGCCCGTCTGCCAGCCGCCTCCTCGCCGCCATCCGCCAGGGTCCCATTCCACATTCACCAGCTGCCTCCACAGCCTGGGCTCCAATGAAGCTGCCTTTCTCAGCAATGCTATTCTTGCTGATGCTGCCATGACTGAGCTCTCCCCAGAAGGTCCATAGAAGCAAAAGCTAAAAAGAAGAAAGAAAACGAGAAAAGAAGGGAAAAAAGGAAAGTGGACAGAGTGGACGAGACCCGGGCTCAGGAGCTCGGAAGCAGCGTACTCCGCTGCCACCATCTTGATTACAAAGGAGCAGAAGTAGGCCATTCAGCCCATCAAGTCGATTTTGTTATTCAGTTATGATAGAGTTATGTTCATTTATTTGATTTGATTTGATTTGATTATTGTCACTTGTACCGAGACACAGTGAAAAGTATTGTTTTGAGTGCTAAGCATACACATTGTACTTTACATATGTACATCATGGTAATAGAACAGAATGTAGAATATAGTGTTACAGCTACAGAGAAGGTGCAGAGAAAGATTAACTCTAATATATGAGAGCTCATGAGTCTGATAACAGCAGGGAATAAGCTGTTCTTAAATCTGTTGGTACATGTTTTCAAACTTTTGTATCTTCTACACAATAGAAGAGGGTGGAAGAGAGTATAACTGGGGTGGGAAGAGTCTTTGGTTATGATGGTTGCTTTCCTGAGACAGTGGGGGTGTATAGACAAAGTTAATGGATGGAAGGCTGGTTTGCATGATGGACTGTGCTGTGTTCACAACTCTCTGTAATTTCTTACACTCTTGGGCAGAGCATACCAAGTTATGAAGAGAGTTTGGAATAGACTGGGGTTGTTTTCCTTGGAGCAGAGGGGACTGAGTGGGGGACATGATTGAGACATATAAAATGATGAAAGGCATCGATAGGGCAGAAAGGGAGAAAGTTTTTTCTTTGGCAGGGGGGAATCAATGACTGGTGGCATAAATTTAAGGTAAGGGGCAGGACATTAAGATAGGATGTGAGGAAAGATTTTTTTCACCCAGTGGGTGGTGGGAATCTGGAACTCACAGCCTGGGAGGCTGGTAGAGCCAGCTACTTCAGAACGATTAGGGATGGGCGATAAATACTGGTCCAGCTAGCAACACCCACATCATAGGAATGAATCATAAAAGAAACATTGAAGAATAGAACAAGTGCTACCATGTGAATTAATAACAGAGTTTGATCAGCAGTTATACAGTAACCACAGAAACTCAAAGATCAACAGGCCTCCCTCTCTGATACAATGGTGATAATGGACGCTGTCAGTAATGAATTTTGTTTGACTCTAAGTCCTCCACAATCCTTAGCCCAACCCCGATGATGCAACACTCTCATTCAGCCTAGAGTCTGTCAAACATGCAAAACACTGTCAAGTCTTGCAAAAGCAAGGTGTCCTTCATAGACTTCAGAAATTCAAATTAAATAGGATTGAGGAAGGATTTAAAATGTTACCAATCTTTAGGCATGTATTAAAATCTAGATTGGGTTATTCCATAACAGAGTGATCGGATCCAAAGGCCAATTAGTGGTTGGCGAATCAATAGGGCAGCTCCAAAACAAAACCAAAATAATGCAGATGCTGGAAACCTGAGAGAAAAAAACTGAAACTGGTACCTAGGAGTGGGCCTTATTAGACACTATAAAGGAAATTTACGCACGGAGGCAGAGGTGTTAAATTAATATTTATAGAGCAGGAGGATGCTGCCCAAGCCATGGTGATAGAGGAGAAAACTTTGTCATTAAGATACAAAATTAATAAGATAGAAGTCTTGGATAGATTATTAGCACTTAGAATTGACAAAGCACCGAGGCCAAATGAAATGCATCCAAGGATTTTGAGGGAAGCGAGGGTAGAAATTGCACTGGCCATGACCTTTCAGTCTTTCCTAGAACAGGGGGAGATGCCAGAAGTCTGGAGAATTGAAACCTTACAACCTTGTTCAAGAAAGGTTGCAAGGATAAACTCTGCAATTACAGACAGTTAAATTAACTTTGACAGTGGGGAAAACTTTGGGAACAATTATTCAGGATAGAACTAGTAATCATATAGTATAAGGTGGGCTGATTAGTAAGAGTGAGCACAGATTTCTAAAGAAGAAATCATGTTTAACAAACTTACTGAGTTTTTGAAGAGGTAGTGGAAAGGTTCAATCATCAACTGTGCCTGGAAGACCATCAACTCAGTGAATGATGCTCTTTGGTCAGCCTGAAACTTGTTGGTCTTCCAGTACAAAGAGCTGACCTCGACAGTGTGTTGCAGCTTGGCACGTTCTAAGGTCCAGGACTATGTGCTGAGGGACGGACTAAAGCTTGGGGCAGCTACCGCCAGGGTGCAGTGGAGAAAGACTACCATGTGAGATCTTTCTGCCAAAGCACAATGGGGATCTGTTCAGCTATCAGACCATCTTGGTGCCTCAACTGTATGTAAATATTGTCCTGCATCAGTAAAAAAAAACCTTGATGTTTCTTTGCTACGGCAGTGAGTGCCAAATTCCAATGTTTGTTTGCTCTTCATGTGAAAAGACGGTACAGAACTGCTTCATTAACTATGTATGTATGTAAAGATATTTAATGAATAAAGTATATTTTTGCAATAAAAAAGAACAGAAAGGCTCAATGAGAGTAATGCTGTTGATTGGTGTACATGGATTGCCAGAAAACATTTGATACAATGCCACACAGCAGACTTGAGGAAAAACGTAAAAGGGACCGTAGCAACATTGATACAAAATTAGCTGAGTTAAGAAGCAAAAAGTAATGGTCAATGGATATTTTTAATGCTGGAGGAAGGTTTGTAGTGGAGTTCCTCAAGGGATGGTATTGGGACCCTTGCATTTCCTGCTATATATTAATGATCTGGATCTTGGTGTGCAGGGGATAATTTCAAAGTTTGCGCATGACACTAAACTTGGAAGTACTGTAAACTGTGAGGAGGACTATGGAACTCCAAAAGGACATTGACAAGTCAGTGGAGTTGATGAATAGGTGGCAGATGAAATTAATTCAGAGAAGTGTGAGATGATGCGCTTTGTTTGGAAAAACATTGAAAGACAATAGAAAATTCTAAGGGGGGAGGGTGCAGGACCATGGGGACCTAGGTATATATGTACAATGATCACTGAAGGTGGCAGGTCAAGTGGAGAGAGCAGTTAATAAAACACAGAGCCCTCGGAGCGGCATGGAGACCCAGTACATAGCTTTGCTGCCTCGCAGCACCAGGAACCTAGGTTTGATTCCAGCCTCAGGTCAATGTCTGTGTGGAGTTTGCATGTTCTCCCTGTGTCTGCATGGGTTTCCTCCGGGTGCTCTGGTTTCCTCCCATAATCCAAAGATTTGTAGGTTAGGTGGATCGCCCATGGGAAATAGAGGGGTGGGGTGGGGCTAGGTGAGATGTTCTTTGGAGGGTCAGTACGGACTCGATGAGCCAAATATTCTGCTTCCACTCCGTATGGATTCTATGACTGCATGAGTACAAGAGCAAGAAGGTTATGTTAAACTTGCATGGATCGCTTGGTAGACATCAGCTGCAGCGTTACGTACAGTCTCGGACACCATATTACAGGAAAGATGTAAATGCATTGGAGTGCAGAAGCAATTGACAAGAATGGTTCCAGAAATGAGAAACTTCAGTTATGAGGATAGATTGAAGACGTTGGGACTGTTCTCCTTGGAAAGAAGGCTGAAAGGAGATTTGATAGAGGTTTTCAACATCTGGAGCAGGCAGGGCAGAACAGATGGGGAGAAGCTGTCTGTAATTATAAAAGAACAAGAGGCAATAGATTTAAGGGGATATGCAAAGTAGCAAGGGTGATGTCAGAAAAAAAACTTTTTCAAATAATAATTAGGGTCTGGAACACACTATCTGGAAACGTGACGGAGGCAGGTTCAATGGAGGCATTCAAGAGAGCATTGGACGATTATTTGGATAGAACTGGTGTGCAGGGAGATGGGGAAAAGGCAGGCGATTAGCAATAGGTAATGGAACCCGGGCAGGCACAATGGGCTGAAAGGCCTTCTCCACAGTAATAATTATTTGATTCGGTGATTCCTAGTCAGCACTGCTCGGTCCTCCCCGGGCGAGAGGGCGCTACTCGGTCCTCCTGCGACGAGCAGGCGCTGCTCCATTCTCCCGCTGAGAAAGGGGGCTGCTCAGTCCTCCTACGGAGAGAGG